GAAGATGATTATGAACAACACGAAATCCATCTCTTTATGTTAAGAGAAGGTCCTTTGTAGAGATGCCCAATGTGTGGTCAAGTTTTCAAATTGGTTAGATTAAGATAATAAGAGGATGAAGAAATGTCCTACTATAGAGATTCATTCCATCCTATTGATATTTTTGAATTGGATGTAAATTAATCAATCAATTATTTTAGAATGAAAATGTTTAATCAATTAATATGCTCAAAATGTGGACTCACAGAGAGGCTTCATTATTTGAAAGTGCATTATATGAATAAAATATTATGGTAACAATGGATAACGATGTACATGATAGATTACTTGTTGATCCAGCTTATAGAATGTGGAGATTTTAACATGGTGAAGATAAATTAAAATACATTGATTAATAATTGAAATAAGCAGGTTATAATGAAGAAAGAGTCTATAGAAATCCTAAATACAAATTACCAATGTAAAAGGCAACATATGCAGCTGTCATTGAAGCAGAGAAAGTCTTAGCTATCTAAGAAAGATTAGAAAGAAAAGTGAATAGATTCCATGTTAGAGAATATCTTGATTTTGCTAATCATGCTAGAAGAGAAAGAAGAATGAGATTGAGATAAAAGGAAAGATGGGAAAATAATTACACTTATTTCTATGGAGGTCTTACAGAAGAAGAATAATTATATAATGATTACTTTGAAACTGATTAAGAATTATATAAAGATGATGAATAAGTTGAATAAAGAATTGATGAGGCTGTTGCTTAAGTTGATCCTAAGTATAGTCCTCTCAGATTTGACTTTTAAGAAGCCTATACCCATAATCCTGAAGAAGATTAAACTTCACTTCTTGAAAAGAAATTATGGAGATTCAAATATAGATTGGCATTTGATTGCACTAAAGATTATTAAGTTAGAGAAAGAAGATTGATTGAAAGACATTTGGCAAGAATGACTAAAGACCCAGAATATATTGCTGTTTTCAAGAATCTATAAACTGCTGTTAATTCTGAAAATGAATTTGCAATCTTATAAGCTGAAAAGAATTATTATAATCTTGCAGCTAAAGAAGGATGTAAATTTATTAAATTATTTATTTAGTCCTTTAATACAAGGATTACTTTGAAGGAGATTCATCAGCTGAAGTTGAATTAGTTGAGGAATTATATAAAGCTTCACCTTTAGCATTCAGCAAAGTCTTTGTTAATCATTCTGCAAGATTATTCTAATAAGAAGGATTCTAGAAATTCCCTAAAAGAGCTTGGAATGATAGTTTAGGATTAATTTAAAATTATGTTTTGGATTTCTAAGATTTTTCATCAAATATTGTACCAAAAGCTCAAAAATTAGCAAATTATGCTGGTTTATAAAATGTATATAAAATAATTATATATAATAGGTACTTCCTGCAGATGAGTAAGAATTAGTAAAACTTGGTTTAGATAAAACTGAATAAATTGCAAGATAAAAAATTGCATAAGCTTAAGAAAAACCATAACTGAATGAGCCACCAAAATAATAAGCTTAATAATAATAAGCTCCTCCAAAAGTAGAAACTGCTTAATAATAATAAAAACCTCAATAATAATAATAGTAATAATAATAGTAATAATAATAATAATAAAAGAAAGGACCATTCAATAAAAAAAAATGATAATTTTTAATTATTCATTAAACAAAATATTACATTATAATTATATTTCAGACTAATATTATATATTCATTCTTATTGATCTTAATTTTATTCTATTTGCATTTCTTCCCTATTATCTCTATACTCAGAAAACAATTCTTAATAATCAACCTTCTTTCTGCTTTCCTTTCCAATTGCATAATGATCAATTTAAGCACAACCAGGATTTATTTATTTGAGGTTATCTAAAATTTAAACACTTTAAATGATTATTTATCAAACTTACATATTTTTTTCCAAATAATCTTTAGAATTTTGCTCTTCCATATTCGAAATTGGTAAATGTAATTTATATTCAGGTCCAAAATATACTTTGTAATCAGATTCATCAGGAATATTATCTTATATAGGAACATTCAATGCTAGAGAAGTTTCATATGTCCAACATCTGGGAACATTTCTAAGAGTATAGCCTCCACCTCCTACCATTATTATTGGTACATTAAATTTCTTTAAATATTCAATGCAAGTTCCATGTCCTATTATAATATTATATTTGTACCTTTAATGCTTAAATTAAAACACCCTAATCGATCACCACTAAGACTATCTGTACCTCCTTATAACATGACTACATCAGGTCTGAAGTTTTCCATAATTTTATCAATGACTGGTTTGAATATATATTAGATTGAATCATCATTTAAACCTTCATTCAAAGGAAAGTTAACTGCATAATATTTTCCTTTATCATGTCCAACATCATCAATATGTCCAGTTCCTGGAAAATATTCTTTAAATTTATGAAAAGAACATGTCATCACTCTATCAGTTAAATAGAATGCTTCCTCTACTCCATCTCCATGATGAATATCAATATCTACATAAAGTACTCTCTAATATGTTTTTAATAATTCTAATATCCCAAGCACACAATCATTAACATAACAGAATCCACTAGCCTCACTTTATTTGGCATGATGTAATCCTCCACTCCAATTAATTGCAATATTGCTTTTTTAATCAGCTATGACACAAGCTGCACCTACAGATCCTGAAGTTTAACATAAACAAAAATCAAACAACCTATCTAATACTGGACAATCCTCCATAAAATTAACTAAATTTAAAGTTAAATTTTACATCTATAAAGTTGATCCTCATATTAACATTTATTTTCAGGTGTAATTATCTTAATTAAATCTATATATTCATAAGAATGAAATTAAGTTAATACATCTTCATCTACTCTTTTTATATATGTTTATACAAAAGATTAATCCTAAATATTCAAATTTATATGTCTTACAATACAATTCATATGTTATTTCAATCCATAGTGACCAACTAAATCATCAGTAATAGCAACTCTTAATGGCTTCATTGGATGTGTTGTAGAATAATTGAATGTCCCGAATTCTTCATCATAGTAGTATGTCACCTTCTATTTAAAGAGATTCATCTTCCCAAATAAATTTTAAGAATTTTATTATTGACTTTATAACTTTTTTAATTACAAGATTTTAATAAAATAACAATTATCTTCCAAATTGCTCCTTTATTATACACTCCTCAAATTTCTAGCAATGTACATTCTTCTTAAATTATTCTATTGGCATTAACAGAATTTATCTAATTTAATTTCATTTTAATTATATTATCTGTTAATCAAAAAATGTTTTCTGCCAGAGATTAACTTAGCATTTCAAGAAAAACTATGCAACATTATTCAATCGCTTCTTAAAAACCTATTAGATATGCAACCTAGTATTGTGGGGATACTGAATATTCAACTTCAATTTTCAATTCCGATTATGAATTAATAAGAACAAAAGAAAAATATAAATAAAAGTGTGAGGAAATAGATATGAAGAAAAATCAATTAAATTCTGATCATCTAGATCTGGAATTTAGAGCTGAGGTATCATTTACTTTAGTATATAGAAACTAAGATAAGGAGAAAATGAAGTTAAGTATATGGCTGAACTTCTCAAAAAAAAGCTTAAATAAATTAAGCAATAAGAATAATAGATAAAGGAAAATCAAATTTCCTTTGCTGATAAATTTAGGGAAAAGGAATTATCATTAATTGAATAATAAAAATTAATCTAAGAAAAACAAGATCAATTAATTTTAAGAGAAGAATAGCTTAAAATTAGAGAATAGGCACTTAAAGAAAAAGAATCTCTTCTATAGGAGTAAATTACATACTATACATAATTTAATGATCGTCTAAAATTAAATTTAGAAGAACTGAATAAAAAGGAATGTAACTATTTTACATAAATTTATAGAATTTTACATTCAATAAATAAGTAAAATGAATTAAACAGTTGAAACACTTTTGTACCATGAAAATCATATAAGAGATTTAGAATTCAGACTTACTCAATAGATCTAAGGATTAAAAGATTTTGATAATTAAATTCGGTAATAGTAAACGGCTATGTTAGAATTTAGGTTCAAAATTGTAAATAATAAGAAGACTTAATTGATTAAAAAGAATAAGGCATTCTAAAGAGTTAAGAGTTGATCAATCGGAAATTACTTTGGGATTAAAAAAATATTACGAGATAGCATCTCTAATAGATTTCAAATTATATGAGTGATTAAAAATACTATTGAATAAATATTGCTTTATGTTCTAATTTAATTAAAAAATATCAAATCTTATTTTCTTCTAAATTAAATATGATATTAAATTATATTGATTTTTTACATTTTTTTGAATTAATGATTATTTTAATATTGTTATTGATCTATTTGCATAGATCATAAATATATATGAAATATCTTTTTGTTAAGTTTCCTATAATTTTAATCAATGTAAGAAATATTAAATTTTCAAACAAATTTTGAGATTACAGTTTTATTGTATATCAAAATAAATTAATTTTTATTTCATATTTTGTATTAAATTTATTAATAGGTATTGAGTGATTATATTTTGCAACCACTAAGTATTAGAAAGTAAAATATATTTTCTTAGATAATTTTCTATTTTAGTTTTTGAAAATTATAAATTAACTTTATTCTAATAAATAAGTGTATTGATCTTAAATAAGGAATTTGATAGTATTTATAATATAAAATATATATATTATTAACAAATTATGTTCAATTTTATAGATAAAACGTTAAAAATATTACTTTAAATCTATTGTTTTTAACAATTCCATAAAAAATAATGAATTTTTTTTTGGATTTATTTAAAGGAATATGATAATAAATTTTTAATTAATTTAGTGAGTGATATAAATGAAATACCATACAGAGAGATAGAAATCAAGAAATAAAGATTTTGATCATTTAAAATTTATATCAATCAATAAATATTTTTAAAAGTGATGAGCATATTTTGTTTTCTAATCTTACTCTTATATCTAAATCAACTCTCATTTCTTCATTTCCTTTCATAGGATATTTGCATCTATATCTTAATGATAGAAGTCTAAATAAATTTTGATATTCAGCATCTTCTTCATTATTCTTATCACTCTTTCTTTTTTGAACTGATAACTTAGCTAAACATTCTTCTAACCATAGATTTGTGTTATCTCTTCGTTCAGATAAATGATATTCATCCTCTCCAAGTGCAATTCTAGCCATGTGATCATTTAAAATCAATTTTCCATAATAAGGAAAGTATATTTTAATAAATTTCTTCATTCTAATATTTAATATATTAATTACTTTCGATATAAATATAAAACAATAAGAAATCCTCTAACATTTCTATTTTTTAATTCTTTTGTATTTATTGAAAATAATATGGCTGAACTCTATTTTCTATTAAATGCTTGATTAGCAGATCTCACAAATATTTCAAAGATAATATCTGCAATAGATTCTCTCATATAATGCATTAAAGCTAAGATTCCATCTAATAAATTTTTATCTTCTGAAATTTTAACATAAACAGGTTATAAATTTTATTTCATTTCTTCATCCTTTTCTGTACGCATTTTATCAATTAATAAATATTCTCTTAATTTTCGTTCTCTTCTTGCTAATTCAGCATTTGCTTCATTTAATTCAGATTTTAATTTATTGATTTCATCATTCATATTTTTAACTTAACGATTCATTTCTGCATTAGATTTTTTTAAATTATCATTTTCAACTAAAAATGGTAAAGTCATCTCTTTTGAATCTTTTTAAACCCTTTTTATTTCTTAATTATCATTTTCTTAATTTCTATTTGCAAATTATGCTTTAAGTTATTAAAGCTAATTAGAAATGTCTTAAATTTATTAATCTTTTTGTTTCATTGCTCTTTCCAATTCTCTTAGTTTTGGAGAATCAACTTCATTCTTATTAGACATTTAAAATTTATCTTATGTTGATCTATTGATTTAGTAAAGTTCTTATTCTAAATATTTCACTCTTCCACTAAGTCTAGAGATTTCAATATTTCTTAAATTCAATACAAAATATACTTTTATGCCACAACTGCTTCAAAATTATATTACATATCAGTAATAATAGCTCTCAATCTTAAATTGTCTTCTTCATGTAAACCTTATATAAAATGTAATCTGTCTAAAGTTTATGATAGTGTTGTGATTTCCTTAATTTAAATCAATTATGTACATGATTTCTTATATCAATACCTTGAAGTAGATTTGGTATAATATATTCGTCGTTAGCAATTTACATTTAATAATTTAATTTTCCAATTAATAATATTACTGCTAGTATGATTTAACTTGAATATTAAATACATTAGATGTTATTTGAAATGTTCCTTTCATAATAATTTATTTAATGATTAGCATAAATATAGACTAAGTTCAATTTTATTATAAAATAATATATATAAATTATATTACAATGTCTTAAGAACATGATTTAGATGACATTGCTGAATAATAATTGGCAGAATAAACTGCTCTAAGTTAAATTCCTTCAATTCCAGATTAGGCCTTACCAACTCGATAATATTTAGAGAAAGCAGTTATTGATCAACTTCAAGGTAGATTATTTGAATTAATGTGAAGATGCATTAAAGGCATTAGCAAGAGAAAGACCCAAAAATCCAATTGAATTTTTTTCATATTATTTGTTGACTCAACATTGCAACAAAAAGAAAGAATTACAAGAATAATGAAATTAACTGCAGTATAATTGTATAATCCCAATGTGATAATAAATATTTAAATATTAATGCTCAAACATCTTTATGATACAGATTGTGTAACATGGTCCCCACAAGGAAAATTATTTTAAGTTGAATATGCTATGGAAGCTGTCAAATAAGGAAGCATTTGTTTAGGACTCAAATCAAATGAATATGTTGTATTATGCAGTCTTAAAAGATAACCTTCTGAATTAGCTGGTTATTAAGAAAAGCAATTCAAAATTGATGATCATATGGCTATTGCTATTGCTGGATTAACTGCTGATGCTAGTAAAAATATAAAATAATATTTTAGGGGTACTTTGTAAATATATGAGAACAGAATGTTTAGAATATAAATATACATATGAATCCCATCATCCTGTTGGTAGACTTGTATTCAAAGTAGCAGAAAGTATTAATAAAACATATTAATTTAAGAATCATAGCATAAAACATAAAGTGGAGCTAAAAGACCTTATGGAGTTGGATTATTGGTTGCAGGTATTGATCCAAATGGAGTACATTTATTTGAAACATGTCCATCTGGAAATTATTATGAATATAAGTGCTAAGCAATTGGTTCAAGATCATAAGCTGCTAGAACCTATTTTGAAAGCTGGTTCCATTTATTTGAGAAAAGTACCTTAGAATAGTTAATTTTACATGGATTAAGTGCTCTTAAGAAGGCAATCATGGAAGATGAAGAGTAATCATTCATATATTATTATAGATTAAATGAAAGAAATGTAGAAGTTGGCATCTTAGGAAAAAATTAGAAATTTATTCATCTTAATGCTTAAGAATTAAAAGATTATATAGTAAAATTAGAAACATTTAATGCAAACACTTAAATTTAATAAGAGTGATGATTAAATAATAATATTAATATATTTATAATAGAAACACACCTATGGTCCAATCATTTTTCAATATTAAATTTTTATCCATAAGCAAAGTTTGTGTTAAGCTTTGTATCTCTTCTATCTGGTTGCTTTTATTTTTCTAAAAATTATAAATAATATTACTATTTAATTCTTTTTCTTCTTTACCCCACTCTTCTATTACCAATTTATAGTCAAATTTACGAACATCTGATTCACCTTATAAGTCGAATAATCTTAAAAAAAAGTAATCAAAAGCCTCATTACTAAGATTTATTCCAATATAATTAAATGCTTTAGTCAATTAATCTTTTGTTAATTGAGGCTAATTAAATGTAGGAAGATAAGATAAGATTGACTTTTTAAATTTCATAATTTATGCACTTATCTCATTACTATATTATCGTTCTTCATCTTCTGTAAATATTTTACATTTTCCTACTATCTATTTAAAAATGCTTCTAACAATTTATAATTAACAAGTTGCTTCTTCATCATATTCTACCCAATCTTAAGTATTATCTTCAATCATATATCTAGCCAATAAGTACATTTTCTCTACATCCTTCAATTCAAATGGACTATCACTTAATTTTAAAGCAATATCTTTAATAGAAATTCTTCCTTTTTATTTTATTTAAGAATCAAAAAGATCATTTTCAACTACATCTTCTAATTTTAATTTCTTCAATCTAAATCTCATATTCAATTCTAAACCTAAATCCTTAATATCTTCTTATTTAACTGTTCTTCTTCTTCTTACTCCACCACTTAAAGGACGTTATTTTTATGATTATTTCTCTTCTTGAATTAATCCTAGTTAACTACCTTAATTGTGATGTTATGGTTAATTAACAGGTAATTAAGAGAGAGGTGGTTTAGAATCCTTATCAAAACTTGGTATAACAGCCATAGTTCCCATTGTTGCTAATTTTACTGTTGAAGTTCTTGCACTTTTTCTGTCAGATTTTTACTATTATGGATATTCTTCTTAGAAATCTTATTATGCAACTTATAATAGTAAATTCTTATATTTTTCATCAACTAATTCAAATTAATTCTTATAATATTCCATATCATTTTCTAATTGTTTTCTTTCTCTTTCTTATTATTTAAAATTCTCTTATTCATAATGTTTCATATCTAACATTTTTTTTTCTAATTATTTAATAGTTTCATTTTTTTCATCTATATTAATTTTAAGTTCCATTATATTTTATTCTAATTCTCTAATATGTAAATCATCATTATGAGTTTTAGTTGCTTTTATAATTAAATTATTATTAATGGTCTTTAAATTTTAAATTTCTTATTAAAAAATTTCACATTTATCATTATATTCTTATACTTATTATTTTAAATATTCTGATTACTCCTCTGCTCTTGTTTTTAACATATCATACTATTCACATTTAACTTAAGCATTAAATAATTCTTCATCCTTTTATTTAATTAATCCATTAAATTAATCCATTTCTTATTAAAGAGAATTTATAACTTTCATTTAAACATAGAATTTCTCTTCAAAATTATCCATCTATACAGCCCTAAAATCTAAAATCTTTAATACATTTTTTAAGCTGCCTAATTTCTCAATGCTTAATCTAACAAACTTCTAAGTCTTATTGATTCTTCTATATAGTTTTTTAATTCTGATTCAATCTCTTATATTTTTGTAACTTTTATGTGTTTCTTCAATATAGATAATTCTGCCTCTTTTTCTGTTAACTATGATTTCACATCTTTCAATGTCTTTTTAAGATTATTCATTAAAATATGATCACCTAATGCTTGATGTCCTTAACCTGTTTGTATGTAACTATCCAAATTTTCAAGAAGTTTTTCTAATTTTGAATTTTCCTTTTAAAGTTATCCATTTTTAGTTTTCAATCTTACATTCTCTTCTTTAATCTTATTTATTTGTTATTTCAGTTCTATTTATTCTTCATAAAGAGTTTCTTTTTCTTTTTTAATATTCTTTGGTAATTTTTTATCTCCAACTTATGAAGGTGGATTTAATAAAATGGCATTAATACTTAATTTTTTAACAATTATAATTACTCTATTCCTTGTTTATCAAAATTATCATAATCTTACTCTTCTAAAATAACCTCTTCATCTGTTCTTTTCTTTCCACTACAAATAGTAATATTTATTTACAGTTTCGAATTTTTTGTTACTACAGCTGAATGTGGTCTAACATTCGGTAACTTCTTAGTGCCTCCATAAGTGTTTGACAATTAAGATGGTAAACGTGATTTAGCACTATCAGGTCTTCCTTTTAAATTAAATGCCTAAATTTCTATATAATTTTACTGAAGAAGGTCGACTTTAAAAATCGTATTCCATTTTATAATTTTAAATAATAACTATTTCATTAAATAATAATATCAAGATAATTATCATATTATATGTAATAAAGAACATTTGTTAATATTTTAATAACTACATTTGAATGTCATTAAAAGAAAGTAACTATATTCCTTTATATATTTTTATATTTATGTAATTTTTAAATATTCTGTCAAAATAATTAAATATCAGAAAAATCAAATTTCATTTAAAAAAAAATCATAATATATAAACTTTTTTTATGAATTTATATGAAATTCAATCTAAGATTTAAAATTGAAACTCTATTAGTATATTCTATTTTATAATGAAAAACAATAAAAATAAATAAAACAATAATAAGTCTTTTTGTGTTTTTTATATAATTATATTTTTTTAAATAATATTGCCAAAATTGAGTTAAGAAAGGAGATTCATGAGATAGAAAAGATATAAAGGATTAATTAAATAAAATTATTAAATTTATTTAATGTTATATATCCATCACTCGGCATGTCCAAGTTTTGCTACTTTATAATCTTCTGCAAAATGCAACAAGGAAGCTGTAAAGACTGCTAACATTTTTGCTTTACCCTAAATAAAGATAAATAAATTAATTTACATCTCTTATTTATTCCCAAATTAAAAATACAGTAGCACCCAATCTTCTTGCAACTGATATCACATACTTAGCATTACTTTCAATTTCTTCTGGGGTTTCACCTTAAAAAAATAAATGAATTATACTAACCTTTTTAAACAAAATCCCAATCAATAGCTCTTGGTTCAATTGAATTCAAAATTCTGAAGAAGAAATGACTTGTTTTAGCTTTTGGATCCTTAAATGAAGCTAATCTATCAGCTTCTGGAACCTTCTTATTAGCAGCTTCTAAGATTTAATCATCTTTTTAGTCACCCATAGTCTATTATAATATTATAAATGAATTACTTTAAGAACATCCAATCTAAATAATTACCAGATGACACCTAATATGAGTTTCTTTTTTCCATCTACAAAATCAACTCCACCAACATTTACAAGAGTAATTTTGAATGTTTTTGCTTATTCTAATGAGTAATTAGCATTTTGAACTTTAATAATTCTTGATTTAGCTGGAATTTTAACATTCTTCCAATTTATTGTTTATGGCTTTAATTTTTCTAATAATCTATTTAGATTGATTCCATCTCTCATATCTTCTATTAAATTATTAATATATCCATCTTCTATATTAAGACTGTTAATCCACATTTTGAATACTCTTTCATCCATACTACTTTCAGGATCATCATCTTCTTATAACATTTTAGTTTTTTCATAATCATCTTAACTTGGTGTCAATCCAGGACATGTATTGAAAATCTATGCACAAAATAACAAGTTCAATTTTGAATTTCCTTTAACTATATGAACTGGTCTCATAAATTTAGGAACACCAATAGTTTCAGCATTCTAAATAATAGTTTTAGCTCTATTTTCTTGATCTTATGTAAGTCCATCCAAACTGCATCTATCCTTATCTAATTAATTAAGCAAGATGATATAAGCTTCACCATCTTATAAATCCTTATCAAAGTTATTTACTTATCTTTGAGATTTAGCTTCTTTCAAATGATGATTGAACCATCTCAAAAGTAATTAATCAGGTGGTAATTTAAGAATATCTCCAATTTCTTCATCCTCCTTTTTGAGTCTAATCAAAAATGGATTTTCTTTTAAATTTACCATTTTTGTTGTTTATATCTATTATAATATGGAATAATACTTTTATGATTTACCACACTAACCCAAGAATAATATGTTCTCTTCTATCTTTAATTAAGTCAGGTCTGATATTAACAACAATACATCCGATGGATTTAGCAGATTAAATAGCTAAATTCAAGTTGATCTATTGGATATATATTATTCTTAAATACATTTTCATTAAAGATGTTAAGTGGCTTCTTCACATTTATGGCTCTTGGATCAATTGCTCCATTTTATGCCAAATTGATGATTTTACACAACAATATACCATCTCCAACCTTAACAAACATATCATTTGTTTCTGGATCTAATGGCAAAATGTCAGCAACATCTTTATCGTCTTTAAGATAATAATTGATATGGTCACAAAAGGAGGATACTTCATCTTGAGAATAGGTATGATGAAATCCATCTCCTTTTTCTACTTTTAAGGCTTAAATTTGCTTAAGATTATCCATTTTATTTAATAATATAATTTAATCAAGATATTTCTTTGTCTTAAATTGCAGTATTTTATTAGAGTGGCATTTCTACTTGGTTTTATTTTTCAATTACTTAATCCATTTTATCTTTATTTTTATTTTTTTTCTTAGCACTCTTATTTTTTGATTCTACAGAGTGCTTCTTCAAAATTGCCATTCTCTTTTTAAATTCAATAGACTTTTGAAAATCCTTTAAATTGCAAATGCACATATGATAATCATCAAGTTCTGTCTCTGGAATTACCATAGCATGATTTTCCTTATCTATTTCTTCATCATCTATAAAAGAGTCTTCCTGATCATAAACATTTTGACCTTTTTCATAATCAATATCCTTTTGCATGGCACCAGTTTTACGTGCAATTTAATAAGGATTATCTAATTTACCATATTAGGCGCATCTTTAGACAATATTATCAATTAAATTCCTTTTTGCATTATGTATTTGCTCTTCTTAATAAATTGGAGACTTAAAAAATTTTCCTTCTGGAGTTTCTATATCAATTGCAATCCATTCATCCATCTATTTAATATAATAATATTTAGTGTATTAAAAATAATCTTGGATATATAAAAATAGTTGTAACAATCAATTTCCTTAGAATAAAATAATGGAATAATACTGAATACATTCTATGATAGAATGTAAATAAATAAATATATTAAATTCATCTAATCATTTTAGTAAATTAAATCTTGTTTTAAGTAGAAATGTCTTTCTTTAACCTTAAGAACTTTCAGCAGGTTCTGATTTTAAAGCAGGCAAGGATACTATTCTATTAATTTAATACACTCTCTTAAATTCCATAATTTACATCTAACAACTGAGATATCCATCATAATTGAATCCTCCAAATATAAGTAATTTATTGCCTATATAATATAGATATTAATTTACCATCAATACAAGAAGAATGACCAGCTCTAGGTTAAGGTATTGCCCCTTCCTATTAGATAATAAACCATTCATTATTTCTTAATGCATAGATTTAATTTGAGAAAGTGGTTTATTATAAATCATCTATTTTCCCTCCATATAATAAAATAAATGGATCATAATAAACCATTGTATGCATCATTAATTTTGGAGGCTTTGATCCAATAGTTTCTTTAGGTTTCCAATTTTAAATTGAATCATATGTATAAAGTTAATCATAAACTTCATCATTTTAATTAACTCCACCATATAAATATATTGTTTCTTAGACTTCAACAATAGCTGTATGCATAATTCCTTTAGAAAATATATTTTTGGGATTAGGAACTTCATGAAATCTAGAATGAACAGTATCAAATATCATAATATCATTAAGAACTTTATTTTTAAATCCTTCACCACCTATAATGAATATTGAATCTTTATAATTAACAGCTGCATGATACTTTCTCATTTAAAATATTCCTGTATATTTAATAGTGTACCATCTTTCACCATCAAATTTTTATATTTCATTTACAAAACATTTTGATCTAAGAGGTCCATAATTATTAATTTATTCTCCTCCTATCACATATAAATCTGTTGATATAGAAGTCATTGTATGACCATATCTTGGAGTGACATTTTATAATGAAGTCCATTTATTGCTTACTAATTGAATAAATAATATTTTACTTGTTTCAAATTAACAAAAATCATTATTTACTGAATTGCCAAAGCCTCCACTTAAATATATAGATCCTTAATGTGATACCATTTATCCAAATTCTCTAAATTATGGAAACCAATTTTATTCACAAGTTATCCAATTTCCTTTAATCATACAATTCTAATTGATATTAGTTTCAATAACTGATTATTGTCTCTTGAATTTTATTTTAGTATTATTAGTTTTCAATTTTAATGTTTTATTACTATTTTTAATTAATGTTTTGTATTGAGTCTGTCTAAATATTGTATTTTTAAAATCATCATTCAATTTCTCATGAACAGCCACAAAGATTTATTCAAACAATCCTTTTTTTTCTTAAAGAGCAGGTAATGTATATTATTTAACTTTCTATTCCTAACTTATTTAATAGAATGATTTCTCTAATTGATGGTAATCTTTTCCTTAAGTTGCAATAGAACTATTAACAGATTATCTACCACAAGTAAGTTAAGATTAATCAAGTCTTTTATTTCTAATATTTATCATAATAAAAATTAATATGAGTTTATCATTTTCATCTTTTGGGAAAATTCTTGAAAAAACTCAGCCAATAGCAGTAGATGAAGTTATAAATCTTAATGGACATATATTACCAACAATAAAGAAGGATAAAAAGTAATAAAATACAAATTATTAAGCAAGCTCTAAATGTTTTCTATGTTGAGAAAATATGAAGGAAAACAATAAAATGAATCATTTCCATTTAATACTGTTTCAAGAAGAGCTAAACCAACTCTATGTTGTATAATGCCAGAAAAATCATATGAAGCAAAATATACACCAAAATTTGATGTAGTTTAGTGTAAATCTCCTTCTTTTGATTTTGGATCAGGAAGTTAAATCAGAACAAGATCTATATCCATTTGTAGTCAAGATTACTATATTGATTAATATACTTCTTTTAGAACTATTTCAAAATCAACAAAAGCATCAAATGAAAAGAAAAACACTATATCTCATATAAAAGAAGAATGTCCTAAATTATAAAATTCTTTAAAAATATAACTTCTTAAGAATAAAAGAAACAAGACTCATAATTATTCTCCTGATTTCAATAAGTATACAGATCGTAAAAATACTTAGAGAGAATTTTTGCAATAATATGATTTACTTGGAGTAAATTATGCAAGAATAGTAAAATTTATTTAAAATAATGAAAGAATAAAAGACTTGATGTAGGATATGTTGAATTTAGTAAATTTACTAATAAAGTAATTATGAAACAAGACAGAGCTGAAACACCCCCATCAGTTCGTTTGGATTACAATTTTGATAAACCAAAATAAATGAGAAATATATATTTAGGCAATAATAAACCTATATAACCTAGATTAAAACCTAAATTATTATTTTCTATTAATAATTATAGATAAAGATAAGTAAAAAAAACATAGGAACTAATATAGTGGTCAAACTAATGAATACTAAAATAATTTCTATTATAAATATGTATATAAAATAATCAACAACTTTATTTGTTTTTTTAATAAACTTAATATAGACTATTAGATGTAACTTTTAATAAATTCAAGATTTTCTAATTCCATTTTGGATGTCATTTTTACCAATTCTATTAAAATTCCATATATAATTATTTATATCAAACCTTCAAGCCTTTGACTATAATACTTTTACTATATCTGTAAACTTTTTAGCATTTGTATATGTAATAATGTCATTTTTTATTTTAATGGATTTAAATTGAAATGAACTTGCAATTGTTTGTTCTGTCTTTCTATCATATTTTTTCTAGTTTATTCTTCTTAGATACAACTCTTTTATACTTTTTAACTTCCTAAAAACACTGTTTTAAATTATCTATCGCTCATATTACATTTATAAAATATTTCAATTAAATGGGACAGAGCTGTATGAATAAAAAAAAAGAATTAAATGATCCTATGCTTCAATCAATAAAACCTATGCATAAACCAAAAAAACCAACTTGGGAATTACATTATAATGAAAGCAGACCTGAAACTCAAGAAGATCTTGACTTTGACATTGAAACAAGAATTCTAAAAAAAAAAGAAGTTCGATTCAATACTCCTGAGAAAAGTAAACGTTCCTTTTCTTAAGGAGTAAAATATCAAAAAGAATTGTTAATGAAATAAATGTTTGGTGATATGTTTGCAAGAAAAAAATATAGTTTAATACGATCTGATAGGGAATTAAGATAAAAAGAATACAACAATAGAATTAATCAAACTTAAAATATGGATATTAGTTTTTCTCCTGGAAAATTATCACTCAAACAAATTTATGTAAATCAATCAGATCAAACATCAACTTTGAAAGAAGAAGTTAAATCTCTCAAATCTTTTAAATCTAATAGTTAGCCTTAATCAAGTATTTTAAAGCAAAAAAGTACAAAAGCTAAATCATATTATTCTGGATCTAGAAGAAGTGTTAGGTTTCAATTTTGATTAAGTTATATTTATTATTTAATTATGCTCATTATCTTAGTTTAAATTACAAACTACTGAATAATTTAATAATATCTGATTAAATACTTGTTTTTTTTTCAAATTATTATTGAAATAAATAAGATAAATTTATATACATTATCAATATGTATTCATAATTATAAATCAATAAATATTATCATCAAAGAAATATCTTAAATTCCATCATTATCCCCATCCCAAAAATGATGAGCATTTGTTAAAATTTCATTCTCTATTCTTATTATTTCACTCTATGATTTAGGAGGATTATATTTATTAAGAACCTACCCAATATCCATAGTATCCAAATAATTCCATAATGAACTTGTTGCAATTATCAAATATCCAGATTTTGGGAATCTAAAATGAATAATTTCAGGTTCTACTGTAACTCCTACTGTTTTATGAAGTCTATTTCCAAAACATCTAGTGATATGTAATCCTTAATCCAATTTATTTTTTGTCCAAATTTATAAATTTCCTTATTTCATTCCTCTTATCATTTATTAATCTACTCTACCATTATGAGATCTAATTCTTATTAATTCTGTTTCTCTAGATGGAACATGTTCAAAAGATAAATTTTTCATTCTCCATAAATGTATTGTTTATTCTTAAAAATCATTTTTATAGTAAAATAATGCTTTAGAGTCACCACAATTTATACATAATAATTGATCTCCAACTATTAGTAATGAAATATTTGAAGATCCACTTTAAAAAGTGTCAATTTCACTTTATTATGACTAATATAATCAATATAAATTTATACCAATAATTCATCTGTATTTTTATATAGATCAATTATCTCTTCATGAACTTTTTAATCTTTCATGTTATTAGCATCTAATTTTGTAATAATATCAGAATAAGACTTATCTAATTCCATTCCAACAAATCTAGCTATAGGTAGACCTGATGTGCCATGACCGTCATTTAATATAAATACATGTTTCCCATTTCCATCTCCTATCTTAGTTTTACATTAAACATAATCTTAACTTCTTATTTTGTACCTCCTATAGTCCTAACCATCTACACATCTAATTAACTTCAAATAATTATTTACTTAATTGAGTGATATTTCACAATGTTCTTATGAAAATCATCAAGTTTAGTAATTGAAATGTTTAAAACTGTTTTTTGTTTTGAATGAACTATTGGAGAATACATTAATTAATTTGATGCCAAAGTTGGTAATCGTGTTGAGTTTCTTTACAATTTTATATTCCTTGAAGTGGTTGTCTAAGGACCAGGTATTTTTTGTTAAGAAAATGCACCTACCTTAGTTTTTAACAAAAATAGTTTCTTTTATTATGCACTCATTTAAAGATAAAGTATTTTTAAATTCAATAATTAAGAAATCAATTTAGATATAAATCCAATTTACATAGTCTGTATTATTATTTTTATATTTAACTGATAATATAGATCTATTATTGAAAGTAATCAAATATTTCTCAAGTTTAGTTTAAATTAATATGTTAATTCATAAAATAGTTTTCCAACATTATTATTATCTATTTTAAGTCTATTATATATATATCAATATATACTAATAAATTTGGCTTAGAATCTATTTTTATAAAATTACCCTCTTTCTAAGACAACTTCTAAATGTTTGATTCCTTTGAAACAAATAATATACATTTCTCATTTGAATACTTTTACTATTAATATTTAGTTATTATTAGAACATTTTAATAATATTAGATAAGTTCAGGACTATAATAGTGAAATCAAAACCAAATATCTGAATACGCTGATGTAGCTCAGTCGGCAGAGCGGTTGGCTGTTAACCAACAGGTCGAAGGTTCAAGCCCTTCCATTAGCGCTTTTTTTCTTTTTTTTACTCATGAGAATAATTGTAATATAAATACACTATTAAATTATTATAAATAATGGATTAAGACCCAGAAGCTCCTAAATCTAGACTTACTAAATTCTTTGAAAAAGTTGATACTTGGATTGGACCATCTAGACTTTAATACAAACCTGCTTGTTATGATTTAAAAGAAATGATTGTAGAATGTGTATTAGAATCAGATTGTATGAAAAACAATGAAGGAGATTTTAGATTTTGTTTAACTGAAGGAATTAATAAAGAATGTAAAGCTATTAGACATGATTGGTATATTTGCAGAAAATCATAAGTGGATTGGAATAAACATCATTTTAAAGATGATCCTCGTTGATATTCTTTATATAATACATTTTAGATAATATTATATCACTCAATTTTAGTTGATGTTTATTAGGATTCTTCAACTTCTATTCTACCTTTTAAGAAATCATTAGACTATTTGTAAATTTAATATGTATTTTGTATATCAATACCAAGTGTATTACAATAATTATGTTCAGCCATGAATTAATAAAGATCTAAAGAATCATCTTCATCAAATTCTGAACCAAAACATTTTTCAAATTAATCTTTGAATTAATGCTACATATCCTTTTTTTCAATTTCTAATAAAAATTTGGCCACTTGACTAGGTTTCAATTCTTTTCTTAATTATTCTAGAGTTTATCCATAAGAACCTAATTCAAGTTAAACTTAATTTTTAATATCTTAAAAGGATGATAGAGTACTATAAATAGAATTAAAATAGAAAATAATTACTTAGTTAATTCATTTTAAAATCTTAGCAACTTTTTTTATTTTTTCTAAAGTGTTTATCTTTGTTTATCAGTTAATTTTAAATTTCTTAATACATTATGTTCAGACATAATGTCAGAAGATGAGAAAATATCTTAATCAGTCTTAGCTACTCCAATAATATAATTTAAATATGGAGATAGACAATTTTCATATATTTACCTAGAATAATGATCAATTTATTATTATCTCTCTAAAGCTCCAGATCCAAATTTTTTCTTAAATTATATTTCTATTAATATTTACATTCAAAGACTCTATTATTGTATCGATATTCATTTCATTAATATTACTTTAAACTGAGTTTTGTAAATTAGAAAACAATATAATCTTATTTTAATCTTAATCTTATTTCTAACATAAATATAATGTTACCTAATTTATTTTGCACTATAAGTTTGTTGCTAATTCTGTTGTTTATTCATTTACTCTTTTAAATATTTCTAATTATTCCGATAACTTTGTGACTTTGGTTTCAAGTAGTTCTAAATAGATTTTCTTTCTTTTTCTACTATTTCTTGCTGATTCTCTATTCTTTGCCAATTTATCCTCTTTATCACCATTTTAACTTCCAATAATAAGTTAACTTTAAATCTTATTTGGAACTTGCTTTTTACCAACTCTATTAATATTAATTTAACATTACTTTTCATCTGATTACTCTTAATTGGCAATTTTTATCAAGGATGATATTTTATTTATATAAGCATTCTTTGTATTATGCATTTGTTTTTTATTCTTATTGCTATTATTTTATTGTTTACTAGGTATCTCATCTTAATCAAATTATAAATCACTTGAATTAGAATCATAATTAAGTTGATCTATATAATCAGGGAAATTCATTAATTTTAATATTTTTATATCTAATTGCTAAATATAAATTATTGATTATTAAATGTTATTTACTTTGAAAAGCCTCTAATAATAATTTTAAACACAAATATGTTAAGATTATCTTAATTATAGATTTTTTAATAAAAAAGTGAGTTAATCTAAAATTATTATTTTATTTTTATACTATTTCTTTCTTAAGAATAATAGATTGCAATATTAGACCTCAAAAAAACTCACAAAAATAATAAATTTGAAATGAAGTCAAATTAAAACAAATTTGTACAAATATATCATATAACCAATATTTAGTAAAGATAAGGCTGTAATAATTAATTAATAGTAAAATTAAATATACTTCAATTTATTATCAATTATAATTCAATCCAAAAATGAAATTATTTATGAATCATTAAATTAATATAAATGATTAACATACTTTAATTTAGATAATCAAAATATCTTTCACAATAATAAATTATTTAATTTTAGATAGTCTATTATTTTGATCAACTAGATAATTAGTAAATAGATAAATGTTGTTAATATGTTTAATATTAAATATGAAAAATATATAAACAAAAAAGTAGTTAAAATAAAAAGTAAATAAAAATATCATTTAATGATTATTATTATATATAAATATTATGAATCAACAATTTTATAATTTCCTAAACATACCAATCACTCAAAATCCAAAACCTGAATTAGTTAGAGTAAGATTAGCAAAATAATTTATTGTTGCATAAGTATTATATATTTTCAATACATGGAAATAAATACAAAATGATTAGTCTATCACTTTTGGATTGATTGGATGTGGATAAGTGGGAAAGTTGATAATTAATTCAATTATTCCATATGCTATTAAATACTATGATCTAAAACCTTAAGATGTTCATATATCTACAAGAAGGTATAATATTTATATTAATTAAATAGACCTGAATAAATTCATTATTATGTTACAAAAGGTTATTAGGTATACTTTGATAATGATAAATTATTACAATAATGCAATTTTGTGGTTATTGCTATTCCACCAGTGATTGATAATTGGAATATATTGGAATTATAAAATATAAATCCAAAGGCTTATATAGTTTCATTACTATCAACTTTAAAATTGCCTCGATTAAAACAATTACTTAAATTAGATAATTATTTATATCATACATAAATTTCTTAATAATAACTGGAATAAGCAATCTTAAGCTATATAGAATTAATAGAGTAAATAAAACCAGGTGTTTTTCAAACTCAAATTTAGGAAGACATTGTCAAATTAATTACTGAATAAAGTCATAATCATTTTATTGATGGAGAAAATAGGATATAACTCTTTTTATAATCTTTTGGAATTGAATTAATTGATAGTTAATATTAAAAAATATTTGGAAGAAATAAATAGGAGTTTCAAACATAAATAGAGAAATTATTCAAAATGAGTTTCACTAAATCTATGCTTTAATTTCAAAATTTTATTTAAAAATGAATAAGTAATGAAAAAAAGATTCAATTATTATAAAAATGAAATATTTATAATAAAATTTGTCAACTTATGATTGTAAATTTCTGTATAAATTAAATTAATTGATAAAATTAATGTTTCAATCATCTCTATCTCACAAAAAATTAAAGCAAATAGACATTAGAAAAAATCATCATTATTATCTTAATGCTCCTTATTAAATTAGTATACTATCTCCTGAGTAACAAAAATTTGAATAATAGAATGAGTCTGCTAATTCATAATCAACATATTAAAATAATAGTTATACTCAATATACAGAAGATCTTTATTTTAGAAAACATTCAAAATTATTTAGAGATCTTAGGAGTACATCAAATTAGAGTAATAATAATTAATTAAATGATATCAATCAAACATTCATATTTAGAATTAAATCAAAAAATCATATATAAGAAGAACCATTAATATTAGATAATTTAGGTTAAAGAGAAAAAGATAAAAAAACAAAAGATTTGGTAAAAGTATTACATGAAATGAATAAAAGAAGATAGAAATATATATAGAAAGAATAATTTATTCCAAGATCTCCTATTCCATTACTGAAAAGATAAAATTGTATTTATTTGGATGAACCATAAGTTGAAAAGCTATCCAATCAAATCAAAAAGCTTCCCATGATAAAGGAATAATCTGTATTGAATAATACATAGAAAGATTAGAAGGATATATAATCTAATTGTTAAAAATTATCTGGTCATGGAAATTTAGAAGAATAATTTTAATCTAAACTGAATTGTCTTCAATAATTTATTTTTTAACTTTAATGCAATTATTTAATCTATGTAAAATAATCTTAAGTTAGATAATAAACTTATTTTATTGAAGAAATAAATTTAAATGAACAAATCATAACATAATTAATGAAAAAAAGATGGTGGTGGTGTGAATCTCCTGAAAAATCAGATGATGTATAATTTTATTGGTCTCTTAAATTGAATTCATAAATTTTGTAGAAATAAAAAACTCATATATTATTTGATATAACTAAAAAAAGAGTTGTAAATCCAATTATTATTAATAATCATGAAGAATTTTTAAAATTCTCTTAAGAATCAAAATTGACAATCATTTAATAAAATTGTAGAATACATAATCATATAGATCTTTATTAAATATTTAATTTGAAAAAGAATTTAATAAAATGTATTTATACTTTTTAGACATTAACAAATGAAGAATTACAATAATACTTTCCATATACAATTAATGTTGCTAATCTTTAAGATCCATAATTCAATATATACTAAATTAAATACAAACTCACTAATTCATTATGGTTAGTAAAACCTGGAGAATAAAATAATAATAATAATTAAATAAAGATATGTTAAAATACAAAATAAGTTTCTGATTTTATAATTTCTGAATTGAAAAATTCAAATAGAAGATCTGATACCTTCATAATTTAATAATATATTAAGCCATTTTTATATCAAAAAAGAAAGTTTGATATTTATGCATATATCCTAATAACTTCTATTAATGGAATTGTTAGAGTATACTTTTATGATGAAGTAATTGGAAGGACTAGTAGTAAAGAATATTCAGATAATGATTTAGATCCTTTAACTCATTTTACTAATAGTCAAATATAAAAAGAAAGCAAATCCTTTTCATTATATGAATCAGGAAATAAATTATCATTTTATAAATTATAAGAATACTTTAATTAATTTAAAATTAATTTTAAAGAAATAATTATTCCAAAATTAAAAATGATAGCTACAAATTTATTTAAGTCAATATTTACTTAGATGATTCTAAGAGACTTCAATTTCGAAGTATAATATATTTCTATTAAGATTATAGGTTTAAATTTTATTTTAGATACAGCATTAAAACCATGGTTGATTGATACCAATTTAAATCCATCTTTCATACCAGATTGTCCATATCATTAAAAATTCTTAACTTAATTATTAGATAGTGTATTTTAACATACTTTAGATTTACTTTATCCTCCACCATTAAATTGGCCTTTAAACAAAAAATAATTAATTGAAAATTTTAATATTTAAGATAGATTTTCTGTCATTTTTGATTCTAGATTTGATTCAGAAATACTTTTAGAATTATATTAAAAAGAAATAAATTGAATTATTATTATTTAACATATTTTGCATTATTATATTAGAGTATGAATATTACTCAAATTTTATTAATAATAAAGTATTAGTTAGTATAAAGATAATAGTAGTTCTATATATAAAATAATCAACTAAAAGTTATATAATTTCATAAAACAAATAATCAAAGAGTATAAAATTATATTCATTTAAAAATTATGATTCTTCTTATCATTTCCATTAATTTAAAGCCATTCGAATATTTGGCTATACCAAATTAAATTTTACACTTTTTCTACTTTCAACACTACTATTTCTAGAATTATTATCTGAAAATGATGATTCCAAAGTTTACTTTTTCAAAATTCCTTTAAGACAACTTTATTTTGATCCTATTTTTGAACTATAAGAAGATGAATTTGATTCTAAAACATTGTTTTTACTTACACATTACTCAGATACTTTAATATTTTTCTTTATTTATTGTCTAATCTAAGTATCAATTTATAGATCACTTGGCAATTTTTCACAAGTAGCTCCTCTTTATTCAATATCATTTTATTTATTATCCATTTTCATCTTATTAGGATGATGAATCTCTGATTTGTGATGATTTTTTCTTCTTTTTATTAACTTAAACTTTTGTTCCACAGAATCTTTTGTTTTTATTAAAAGATTATTGATCAATTTAAAAGAATCATATTGTCTTGAAGGAGATGTATCATTACCGTTTAAATCATCCTCTATTTACTTAATAGATATATTCATTTGCTATTTATATTACATTATAAATTATATTTAATTTTAAGTATTTTATCAATTTTTAATCTCTTTTTTACTCTCAAGTTCATTGTAATGTTTTCGAATTCTCTTTAAATTTATAATCCTTTTATTTTTATCACTCAAATTTTATTGTATCCCCTCTTCTAAATCATTTAAACATATATCTTATAACTACTTCTAAACACTATCAGTTGTCTCAACATCATCATCTCTATCATAAGCTTCTTGAAGTTTCTCAGAAAATTATTTAGTTATTCCTACTTCTTCATCATCATAAACAACAAATTCTACATAATTATCACTACCAGGTTTTATTAATTTCAGTATTTCACATTACTTCTTATTACTTATTGTTTCATTTGTCAATATACTATGTCTTATTTTACAATTATAATTTTGTTTGTCAATACTTAAGAATTAAGGATTTTCATTTTCTTTGTTTTCTATAAATTTTTATGCACTTTAGCTTTATCTGGAAAAGAATTAAAGGGTATCTCTTTTATTTTCAGAGATATTTTTTTTAGATTATGAAGCCATTTTTTAATTCTTAAATAAAAATTATAAAATTAACAAATTTAATATACAAAAATTTGAGTGTACATAATATAACTTAAATTTGATTTAATAAGATTGAATTCCATATAAAATATAATTATATTGTTTAAAAAAGTAACTAAAATTAATTTAAGTTTGATTCTTTAGAATATGATTTAGATTTTATAATAAATCTCATTTAATTTAATAAAGAATAATCTTAAAAATTTAGAGCAATTTCTAAAAGTTAACTTTACCTTAAAATGAACAAATGATATTATAGAATTGTTGTTTTGGAATGATTAAAAAAAATCAGTAAATCAAGAACTTTATTAATTAAATTTATTTGGTAATGCAGGACTTATAGGTTATAATCTTGGTGAAAGTAATAAGGATTTCCTTGATAATGTTGATCTTTCTTTTTAAATTAAAATTTCACCAACTTTCCTTTCTTTCTTTCCTCGATCTTCAGTTCTATGAAAACTTGCATACTTTGTAGTATTTTATGATTGTTTTTCTAAATTTAACATATTCTCTGATATTATATGAGTATTTGTTATCGATTTAGATAATTCTATATATTTATTTCCTGTTATGATATGCCATGATTACATTGTCTCTAAATTTTTTTCAATTTAAACTAATTATCTCTTATGAATAACCTTAATCTACACATAATCTATACATTTTAAATTAATTCAATAATAATTTGTATATAGTAAGATAGATTTTCGTAATTTGAATCATTTTTGATTCCATTCATATAAAATCTAGAGTAGGCATTTTAAAGGGAAGCAATAAATCCTATTTTAAAAAAAAGTGTTGATATCAATGCAGAATGTGCTTAATTAAGTAATAAGTTTAAAAACCTTAAAAATTAAATATATTAATGAATACATAAAAAAGTTTCTTTAAAAAGTATTGTTTGAATCACTATCAAAAAACCAAATCACTAATATATGTAATACACTTTCATTTAAGTATTTAATAATTAATTTTTCAATTTGATCACAATAAGTTAATTGGAATAACTACAAGCCTGTATTTAAAGTAGTCATTAATAAGGTTTTCTTAAATTTATGCTTAGTTGAAATAAGAAAATTAGGATTTTTGTGCATTTCAAATACAATTTTACAAAGATATTCAATAGAATTTAAAAAGCTATTGCATAAATCAATTTAACTATCATATAGAGATTTCATTTCTAAAACATTTTCAAATATATAATTAATGAATATTCCACATTCATCTGATAGATTAGAATCATATGGTTAATTTTCTAAAATATTAAGCATATATATCTAAAAATATCTATCAAACAAATTTTAATTTAAGAAACATTTAGACATACTAGATATATCTAATTTACTTAAAGCTGATTTAATTTTATCATTATTTTATTTTAGATATTGTATTATTGATTTTGTAGTTTCATGTAATAATCTTATACCTTTTTAATAGTATTTATAATCTATTTATAATTATTCAAGTTAATTTTCATATTAAGTATTTTTAATAGATGTTTTATAACTAGGATAAATAGTTTTAAGTCTTGAACTAGAAAATCCATCATTAGTAAAATTTGCTTCTGTTCTATGTCTAAATTTAGATTAATGATATAAAAATATAGATTTTTATTATTATCTTTTAAAACTAGTGGAATAGGTTTCTTCTATTGAATCTTAAACTTAAGTTTTTGCATGTGATTCTAAATAAGGTGATTCTACAAGTTAAGTTGGAGATGATTATAAAGAATTAGATTAAGTTAATTTAGATATTCCTTTTGATTAACTTTTTCTTGTACTAATAATAATATTATTTTTAGTTCTTGTATTTCTATTTGTTGCTGGAGATTCAATAGATTTAGTTAATATAATTTATTCTTATTCTAATATTTCAATTTATGGTTAGTTAGATGATTTTCTCATTTTAGAATTTCTTAAATCTATATAATATTATTTAATTTAAGTATTATTCTTTCTTTCTTATATAAATTAATTTAGATTATCTAAATCTTTATTATCAAATTCATTAGCTGAAATATATTCATTAATCTCTTAATTTAATTACCAATTGAATTAATTTGTTGTATAATATAATTCAGGATTTTTACCTGGTTATAATACACCCAATAAATTAGTTAATTATTCCTTATCGTCAGTATTAATAGATGATGAATTAATTTACTTTTTATCATATTATGAAAGTGTCTTAAGTATTGATAAAATACTAATTGTAGCTTCAGTTTTTGTTTATTTATCTGTAATATTTAAATTAACACCTTCTTTAGAAACCAATTAAACTATAAATTTAAACCATTCTGTTTTACATATATATTTCCATATTTATTCCTAAAAGAAATACCCTAATTAATAATAGTCTATTTTAATATTAATTATATCTAGATAATATTTATATATATTATACTCTCTAAAATTTACTGTATCATAGAATTGTAGATGTAGAGACTTAATGAAAAATAAAGATTTAAATCAACTATTTAAACTACACTTAACTTTGGTTGTCTTAATAATGTTACTTCTATAAGTTTTGCAATATGATTAAGATTTGCATTCTAATTCTAATCATTAACAAATTCATAAATTCCATTAACTAAAAATTATCTAAATATTATTATACATATCTAAATAACATTTTATTTAATAAATTAATCGAAAAATTAAAAATTGTCTTCCTTAATCAACACTTAAAGAGCTTTATATGAACGTATAGTTTCTTCTTATTTTAATGATTTTCCAATCAATTTATAATAAGTAGGATCATCATTTTATATGTTTATATCAGCATATTTTGTCTAATATTATATTAATATATATATATATACCCATATTTTATGAAGTTCCACTTTTTCAGGTTAAGTAATATATTTTAAAATTTCATCATAATTTTCTGGTTTATTGAAAATGTCCTCTCTTTCTAGTATATCATATGTATTAGTTTCACAAAGCCATTTTTAAATTTAATTATCTATACTTTCTTCTTAACTATCATCACTATCATAATTTAAAGGATCATCATTTAATTAAAAAGTTATTTTTGTGTTTCTTTCTGGAATGAAGTCAGGTATTTTACTTGGACTTTATACATGATTTTATAAAAAGACTAAATTATTAATAATTAGTTTATTACATTAATCTATTTCTTCATAATATGTAGCTACCCATTAACGATTTCCAAATATATCATTTTTACATTCATCAAATATAGATATAATTTTTAATCTAAATTCTTGATCTTTTGTATTTATTATAAATATTTTGAAAATTTTTGCCATCTTTTCTAAGTCCATTTTTAACTCATTTGCCTACAAAAATAATTGTTTTAAGTATCGAGTACTAAACATTTTAGCCATCAGTAATTTTTCTATTACTGCTTTTGCAAAAGACACATTTTATGAACTCTTTCTTGAATCTATTGATGTATTTTACCTAAAGTTATATATATATATAAATACATATTAGTAAGTCTTGAAGATTTAAGAGAGAATGATCTTTAACTTAATAAAGCTCTTTGTTCTTAGAGTTAAGATACTTCTAAACAAGCTTAGTGGAATGCAGAAATAAATTATCCATCCTTAAATCTATCAAATAGAATTGAAATAAGTAATTCCACACTATGTTGTTAAAATGGATAAGCACATATTACTTAGAATACTTTAATATATATATACATAACTTCAATGTTGAAATGTCTTTAAATTATTTTTAATTAGGTAAACTCTATGTGATTTCCTTTATTGCAATTGATAATTTCTATAATCGTATATATTCATCATCTTCATTTAGCTATATTTGAATCAAAATTTACAGCAAGTTCTAAGTGCATACGGCTTGATTTATATTTGTGATTAAAATTATATATTATTATAATCAACAAATCTATCTACCAAATCATATTAGTTTCTTTTATGATTATTCTGCCCTTGACATTTAAACTATAGAATTAGTATTAGATTCACTTATTTTTCTAAAATTACATGATTCAAGTATACTTTTGTTAGGATATAAGCGGATTAACTTTTTGATTTATTTAACTTTTTGTTTTGATCTATTTGTTATTCTTTTCTTCATTTTTTTTAACAAATACTTTATCAACTTATTTTCCATATTCTAAATTAATCAATTAATCTGCATATCTCATAGCCATTGTATTTTCAAAAGGTTGAGCTTATTCAAGTTATTACCATGAATCTAATATAATTAGAGCACTTTATAATTCACTTAAATTTCTCACTTTTATCGCATTTCTTATAATATAATTTATTAATAGAATATAAAAAAAAATGCCTTCAACATAAGATGTATCCCTCATTTCATTTTAATAAAATTTTGTATATGCATTATATAAGGTACTTACTAAACCTAATTTAAAGATAATATTAGATAAGTATGGTATAGGAGCACCTGCAAAAAATATAGTAATGAATTTAGTAAAAACCTATTAATATATTGTGTTCTATTAACTATCAGAAAACCATATGATAATTATATGTAACATAGTATCTGTTAAGTTTCTGAATACGCTTTTTTAATTTTTATCTATTTTGACCATATAATTTTATCTATCATATAATAGTAATCCATTTGTCATTATGGAAACTAATATATATTATTTAAAGGCAAAAGATGTTGAATCTAATTTTGATCTAATTGAATTTAATTAAACAATGCATTTAACTAAATAATCAATAATTAATTAAAATTAGTTTTTCAACAATTCCTTGTAATTTTCAAAGATTTAGATAATTTTAATTTTAATGTAAAGATTATTTAATAAAATTCCACATTCAACAGACAATGATGTTGGATTATGAGGAATTTCCAAAATTGAATACAAAAATACTTTAAATAATGAGTAAATATTCTTTTCAGTCATTATTGATTTTGTAAATTAATCAATATTAAAAATTTAAGTTTGAGTTAATTTTTATTATATATCTTATTATTTTTCTGCAAAATCAATTAATTAATTAAATAAAAGAATTAAAGTTCTTAAATGATTTTCTGAGATAATATTTTTATTAAAAGATAATTTTTCTTTTTCAAAATCTGATAAAAATATCACTGACTTTGTTGTAGGATAGATTTAAATCAATTTACTACTTGAGAAACCATCATTTGAATGTAAATCTATATCTTGTTCTGATTTGATTCTAGATTTGCTTCCATGTTATGATGTTTTATTTCTTAGTCTAATCAAAGGAGAAGTTTTAGTGTTTCCAGAATTTAATTAATTATCAATATTTTAACTATATTAAATTAATTTACCATCTACATCTTATAATGAAGTATTTGATTAAATTTTTGATAAGTCAATATTACACTATCTCCCTTTTTAGTTTTAGTTAACTTTGCTACTATTTTAACTTATTAATATAGAAGATTATCTTCTTAATAAATCATCACGTGCTCTTTTTAGATGTTCTTATTTTTCATTTTAAAATACTTCTAAATTATCATAATCATTTTTAGATTGAATTGTAGTCAATTCCTAAATATTTTAAGTTTCTTATTTCAATAACTATTATTATAGTCTCTGTGGATCAAATATAGATTATGCTTTAATAACTTAAAAAATCTCATTGTATGCCTTTCATAGGAATTAATATTACTGCTTAATCAGGAGGGTGAATATCTGAACTTATTTATCCATCAAATGAATAATTAGAAAGTAATTACAAAAAATAAAATTAATGTAGGTAGGACCATAATTATTCTAAATACTAGATTCCTAATTAAATAATGTCTTCATTAAAATTAATAATATCTATTAATAATTAATTTATTGAAGGATTATATGACATTTCTAAAAGTTTAGGAAATATTTTTTATTCAATAAGTTATTTAATACAAAACTTAGGTTAAAAATTGATTAGAAATTTTATCAATATTGCTAGATGATGTAAATTAATGTTTTTTGTTTCATCATATAAATTAATATTAATAAAGGAAACTAATTGTTAATTATTAATATACATATTTTTGCAAATATTTATGAATGTTAACCCAATAAATTTTTAAAGTTCTCAATGTTAGTTAATATTTATAAGGTTTTAAAAGATCTAAGTACTTGATATTAATTCAAAATATATTTTGATTTTTATTTATAGATATTTTTATCATTATCTATTATTTCTGGCAATTTTGGATAATTTTCAACCTATACTGATCTAAATATAATTTACCCAAAGAGAAGCTATTGAAATTTAAACTGGATCTAAGACAAATTAAATTAAAATATCTAAATTTTCAACTTCTTCCAAAGCTGAATGATGTTAGAGTGGTTAATTTGGATCTTATTTACAACATAAATTTTATAAATATAAACTAGGATCTTATTCAGTTGAAATATAAGATCTTCTTCTATTTTATTGTTATGGTATTATAATTTATGTTTAACTAACTATTTCTGAATCAGAATCTTCTTCAATTACAATTGTTTGATATTTAGTGTAAGATGGAAATAATTTTGGAGTATTATTAAAAACTAAATTTATAAAACTAAATATAATTACAAATAATAATTTCTTCACTAAATTAATTAATCCAATCACATTTAGCAAATATTGTAAATCTTAGATCTTAATAACAATCCATCACATTTTCAAATAATTTTTAATTAGTCGAATTTTGAATATAATTCTTAAACATCAGACAATAAAGTTAAAAGTCTAATTATAATTTATTAGCTAATTCAAAAAATTTCTTTAAGTAATTGACAGTAAACAATTTTATTGTAACTATTTCCTAATTGACAGCTTAGCTGAATTATTATCCATCATTATTATCTTTTGTTTTACTTTAAAAAATATTATTAATATTAAACCGTGATAACATAGTAATTCTTTATTTTAATGTTTAAGTACTTGTTTCTTGAAGCATAGAAATATTTGAAGCTGACTCAAAGAAGCTACTTATGAAACGAAAATCCTAAAAATATTCAAAGAATGCTGATATCAAAGATTCTATATTAGATTTTTAAAAGGGATACAAACACATTACTATAGAATTATTTAAATTTATTTACATTAAAACATTAGTTTTGGATTTGCAAATGTTTTAGCTTAGGGTAAATTTTAAGTTATATATTTTATGCCTTCTGATATTTTTTATAACCTTATGTAATCATCATTGGCATTAAGCTAAATATAAAACAAAGATATATACAGCTTGGTCAAACACCAATGCTATATTTTGATCTGGAACTAACTTATAAGATTAATCACTCATAAAATTTGGTAATTAATAAATTAAATATTAATTTTATCTATTCATTAAACTATGTTGTCATTTAATCTAATTTATTGTATAGATATATAATAATGCAAATAATATTCAAATTAATTCTATATATTTAAACTTTTAATCTCTCATTTGTTTTTATAAAATTTAGAACTCTATAATATTTAGAATTATAGTAATATTTTGAGTAAGATTAATATTATTTTTATTATTAATTAAATTAATTACAATAATATATTAAGATTTATATTTTATAAGTAATTATAATAAACTATAGAACTACTAAATATATATGATCAATTATCGTTTTTTAAACTTGCTCTATTCCTAAGTGATCTTTAACTTAATCTATTTGGTAATTTCTTTCCTTATTATAGTACTTTAGGAGTAGATGATTATTTTTATTTTTCTAATTAAGCCTATTCAAATTATTTTATCTCCTTTAATTTACTATCAAAACAATCGACAGTCAATTAAGATTTTAATTTTTCTAGTTTTGTTCTCTTTAATTAAATCTTTCTTATTGGAGTTTGTCCTGTTTTTAGTAATTCTTATAATTCAATCATGTAATTTGAATCTTCATCAGGAATTAACTATTTAACACCTTTCCATGATTCTAATGGTTATAAATATTCTTGTAAAATAGTCATATTTCTATGATTAAGAGACTTATTTATCACATATATAATCATTCTTAAATAAAAATAGACTCCTGGCTCAAAACAATTACTTTTCATTCCATTTATCCAGAATGATTAAAATGCATTATATATAGAATTTATTAATCCAATATTAAATAGAATGTTGGTTAATGATTGTATAGGAGCTTTTGCAAATAAAATAGTTAAAAATTTAGTAAAGAAATATTAATAGCAATTATTTTATTGACTATCAAAAAACCAAATAATAAATATATGCATTACAGTTTCATTTAAATGTTTATAAATATTTGATGTACTTGGTAATTAAGTATGAATACTAAACAAATTAAATCCAAAAAAGTAAGTTTATAATAATAGTTATAATTGACACTTATTTACAAATTTTGATTATAATCTAATTTATTTATTTATTGCTACTATTGCTCTTGTTAGATTATCAACATTAGCTAAAAAAAGTGTTCTTAATTATTCTCTTAATAATTAAAAGAGTTCAATATGATGACTTTTGAAATATATTTAATTAATTAATTATCCACAAATTTCACCTATTTTTTATTGTTAAATATTTTAATCTATTAAACTTGATAAATATATTTCAAATATGGAATTCAAAAAATTCATACTTAATATTTGTTAAATGAGTATTTATTCATTTAATTATTATAAATTAGTCTTATTAGGTTATTAAAAATAGTCTAATATTGTTCTAAGTATCTCACTAAAAAAGCGTAAACAATTTTCAACTATAATTTAATCTTATCTTTAAACAGACTTTGATTATTCAAATTTAATTTATGCTTATTTAGTTGGATATATTGTTATAAGTCTACTACTTGAAAATCCATCATTTGATTAAATAGAATTAATACCATTATCATCATTTTCTGTTTTGAGTCTTCTTTAACTAGCTAAACCAAGTTTGCTATTTTTAGGAGATTATCCAAAACTACTTAAATTTCTAGTTTTCAAATCAATATTAATTTCTCCTTAAGAACTAAAACTTTAAATTGCATTAAATTTGGATTCAGTATATTAGTTGTTTGTATATATAGATGGTAATTTAATTGAACGACTACTATTTGGTTAACTATCACTTTGACTTTAAATAGATGAATTAGTATGTAAATTAAATTTAGAATTAGACATAGGTGATAAATAATGATTATTATTGGATTAAGACATTCTAATTCTTGAAGATCTTTTTAATTATATATTATCAATTTAGATTTATATTTCATCTGAAATCTTTTTTTCTAATTATTATTTATAGATTTAATCTCTCTATTTAGTAAAATCCATAAGATTATCATAATCTTAGGTTTTAAATTCTTCTATTGTTAAATGTTCTTTTATTTTTGAATTTAATTTCCAATTTTCATAATCTTTTGTATTTTATTTTATCAAATTTTTACCAGATTAAAGTGATCCAAATAATTATGTTAATTTAATTTTATTATCATCTTAATTTTTTGGTTTAATAATTTTCTATTCTTTTTTTGATAATTCTTTAAGAGATTTTATTATAAATTCCTAAAAATACATATAAATTCTTACTATGTTTTCACTTTTCATTTATTATTCTAATTGATTATAATCATTTTCTTTTTCAGATAATATGTTTTGTACCCACATAAACCAATCAGCAAATAATTAATATTTCCAAATTTATTCAATAAAAGAAAGTCCAAAATCATATTTATTTAATTAGATTTGATGAATATCTATCAATAAACCCATAATTAATGGATTATAAATATAAGTTGATAAATCAAATAGTATTTAATTTTCTAAAATTAGAGCCATAGAACTTTTAGGAAATACTGTTAAAAAAGAATCTATAGTTAAGGTTAAGTGATTCAAATTTAAATTTCTATTTTTTATTTTAAATGCTTCTGAAGTTTACTTAACTTAATTATAATTTATTAATATTACAAAATATCTTTAGAAATGTCTAATTATATTATTATAACTTTTCTAAATTCTATCTATGATGAAACATCTGTGCAGTCTTAAAAGATCTCACAATAGCATGGAATTCAATTTTCTAATTTCTAATCTTTTAAGATATTCCATCATTATTAAGATCTTCTATAGGATATTGATCCTTCTAAAAAAATATTAAATTATTATACCCAACAATCATCAATTAATTCTTCATTTGGATTTAAAAGAAAACTTATTAAAACTATTAAATTTTCATCTTTTGATAATGTTATTATTTGTTATTATTCTATGATAAATTCTTTTTATGCAATCCATTTTTATATTAATTCTTCTTCATCAATTTATGATTATCTATCACTACAAGAATTTGAATTAGATGATTCATGTTTTTATGATTCAGAATCTTTATCCTCCTCTGAATCACTCTCAGATGAACTTTACTCAAATTACTTATGCCTATTTTACTTTTCTATAAAATGAGGCACTAATATATTGTGTTAAACACAATCTAAATTTCATTATTTTAAATACATTATTCAATTTCATGATCAAAATGTACTATCCAACTTTAATCCCTTAATTCAAATTCTTTTAATTCTTCAAATGTATTTATTAATAATATAATAAAATGATGATCTCGAGTATTTACTACAAAATCCTTTATTATATAAACTCTTTCTTTTATGTCTTAATTCAAATTTTTTGCTAAAATTATGTATTTTTTAATAAAAGAAGCTGCAAATTTTTTTGCCACTGTCAATTGCTCTATTACAGTTTTGGCAAATGGTATAGAACTTTATTTAAGTTATTCATTTCGTATATTCATATTATTATAACTAACTTCTAATTTAAAATTATTACTTTTGCTAAAGAACACCAATCCTAAGAGATTGGGATCGAGAGCTTAGAAACACTCTTTACTCTTTCAATTAAGCTATTTCCAGTAAGGCTTTTTCAAAAGCGTTAAGAAAATCAATATCTTAAAAATAGTCGAAGATTGTATTCATCAATAATTATATTACTTCCTGCTAAAAGGGATAAGAACATATCACTAAATATATATTTAATGTATTCTTACTATATTTTAAGATCTGCCAATTATTAAAACTTCTAATCCTCATAATAGCTCCAGCTACTAATTTGATAGCATCACTAATTTTTGTTAATCTTTGATATTCATCCTCTTCTCCAAGCTGTAAATTAGATAAGGAAAATTATATACTGCTTCTTCAAATAATAAAGGATTCATCTTAATGATATAATAAAAATACTTACTAAAATTATTTATTATTTAAGTACTTAATAGTAATATGTATATAATGATGACAAAAAACATAATTTTCTAAATTACATTTTAAAAAAGATGATGAATTAAAGAATATAGGTTAATATTTTAAATTATTGAATCTAAATATTAGAATGTTTTCTTATATTTGTATATGCTTAGATTAATTTCCATTTAATTTAATTAACATTTCTTAAAATCTAAAACTTCTTTATCTATCTTTACTTTTATTCACTTTTAAATATACATCCTTTATTTTGAATAATTTATTATTGATGAATTCAAAGTTTGTGACATAATATTCAAGTTCAAAAACAAATTTAGTTTAGAAATATATATTTATATATATATATATATTATAAATGTAAATAGCAAAGCCAATTATTTATGGAACAATTGCAACATGGCTTGGAAGAAGATCAGATGAAAAGAAAACACATTCATGGATTTGTTATGTAAGAGGGGCTCATAATGAAGATTTATCTTATTTCATTGATAAAGTGATATTTGTATTACATAGTTCATTTGAAAACACTAATAGAGGTAATAATATATTATATAAATTTTAGTTGTTACTCAACATCCATTTGTTATTGCTGAAACAGGTTGGGGTTAATTTGATATCATTATAAAAATATATTTGAAGGGTGATTATGATCAACCATTAATGGCAGTGCATCCATTAAAATTATATTAAAACTAAACATAAAATATTCCATTAACTAAAAAACCTGTTGTAAGTGAATAATATGATGAAATTGTATTTATTAACCCAAAAGTAATTATTAAATTCTAATATAGCCTGAACTTTTAGAAATATTAAACTCAAAACCCAATTAAGAAAACAATTAAGTAGAAGAGGAAGTTTAAGTAGATTAAAAAGAACCTGATTTTGAATAGATGACTCCTGCATAAATATTAAAATATAATTAGCCCAATTTTACAGTGTTTGATATTAATGAATCTAAGACAACAATTGAAAAAGCCATTTAATTTGTAAGTCAAGAAATATTAGCAGATTATAAAAGAAAAGTATTATAATTATAATTAATTTAGAATCATCAATTAGATACAGAAATCTAAGAATTGTAAATTGAATATGAAAATTTACAAAATAAATTATCCCAAACACAATAATGAGTTTAATTTTTATATTGTCATTCTATTGATTATCAATAATATATGTAAAAGAATTAATTATATATAAATTGAATTTAAATAAAGGTTATTATCTATTCATCTATTTTATATTATATCAACTCACAATAATATATTTACTTTATTTATTCTTCTACTAGATTAATTCTTTAAATCATTAAAATAATGAAATAAATTATTAAAATCAAATATTACTCTTAATTCTTTTTACTCTTATAATATAATTATCATTACTCTATTCTGACTTTATATTTAATATTTAAATGATATATATATATAACTAATGATTATTTAGAATTAATAATCTATGGGGTTTTATAATATTGTATTTTATTTATGATATGACTCTCATAATTATGGATTTCTGAAATTTCTTCCTGCAAAAACAGCCTTGTTTCCTAATTCTTCTTCAATTCTAAGGATTTAGTTATACTTAGCAGTTCTTTCAGATCTGCATGGAGCACCTGTTTTAATTTATCCTGTTCCTAAACCAACAACCTAAGATAAAAATATAATATTACTAAATCACCAATGAAATTATCTTCAGTTTCTCCTGATCTATGACTAACCATAACACCAAATCCATTCTTTTATGAAAGATTTGAAGCTTCAATTGATTCTGTCAATGATCCAATTTGATTGACTTTTAATAAGAGAGCATTGCATGCCTTTCTATTAATAGCTTCTTAAACTCTAATTGGATTAGTAACCAAAAGATCATCACCAACAATTTGAACTTTTTAACCAATTTTAGCTGTGAATTAAGTATATCCTTCCCAATCATCTTAATCAAATGGATCTTCAATAGAAACAATTGGATGTTATGATACAAACTTAAGATATAATTCTGTCAATTATTAAACAGTTAATTTCTTAGATCCATCATTCTTGGCATTCTTAAAATCCAAATCATAAGTATTTTTTTCAAAGAATTCAGATGCAGCAACATCCATTCCAATATCTACTTTACCTGTATGTCCAGCCTTCTTGATAGCATCTTCTAATAATTGAAGTGCTTCATTTGGATCTTAAATTGAAGGTGCAAATCCTCCCTCATCTCCAACATTAGTAGCATCCAATCCATATTTAGATTTGATGACACCCTTTAAGCTATGATAAACCTCACATCCAATTTAAATAGCTTCTTTGAATGAGTTAGCTCCTGTTGGTAATATCATAAACTAAGAATTATTATATATATTATACTTCTTGCATGGCTAATTTATTTCCAGCATGTTTGCCACCATTAATGACATTAAGTGAAGGTACTGGAGTAACAAATTTATCTGTTCTCTTGCCAGCCAATTAAGCCAAATATTAATAGAGTGGAACATTCTATTCGGCTGCTCCTGCTCTAGCCAAACTCAATGAGACTGCCAATATGGCATTGGCTCCTAACTTACTCTTTGACCATCCATATTTATTTTTGCTTCCATCTAGTTATTCAACAATAAATTTATCCAATTTTGTTTGTTCGGTCACATTCTTACCTAACACATTATTTTATATTTTTTACCAACCAAAGCTGGTCTAATGATCTCATTAACATTAGCAACAGCCTTACTAACACCTTTTCCAAGGTATCTTGATTTATCACCATCTCTCAATTCTAAAGCTTCATAAATTCCAGTTGAAGCACCTGAAGGCACTGCTGATCTGAAGACACCTTTTGATGTAATTACGTCGGCTTCTACTGTTGGATTACCTCTAGAATCCAAAATTTCTCTTGCTATAACATTCTTGATGCTTGAGAATCCACCCTTGATTTTCATTTAAAAAGATATTTTTAATATATATAAATATATGTATATATATATATCAATACTATTATTAAAATAAGATTCAATATTCTAAATTTTAGATATTATCTATTTATTATGAACTCTAAACTTAATTCATTTAAATTCATAATAAATACATTCTATTTTATTTTACAATTTTTCATTCTATTTTCCTAACATAAATAAATATAAATAGTAATATATTTTTTTTATTCCTTCATATTATTCATCCAATCTTAAATCAATTAAATATTATGATTTTCTAGGCTTTAAGTTAATTAATATTTAAATTAATGAAATAAAATAAATTGAAAACACATATTTTAGCTTAATATGTATACTTTAATATTTTTAATTATTAAGAAATAACAAAATTTGTTTTTCTTTTATAAAATTAGCCTTCTCTATTATTACTCTTTATTATTGTTTTTTATTATACCAATTGTATAAAAGAAAGGAATCAAATATGTATTTCAGAGTAAATAAAATATATATGTATAATCCAATACTATATGGTATTGTGAGACTTTGCAGTTAATTTTATTAATTTATGAATTAATGTCTGAATAAATTATTAGAATCTCTAGATCATATGTACGAATCTTTATTTCAGAAACTAATTGAAATATTTGCTAGACGAGGAATAATTAGACCATTAATTCGAAGGCCAGCAGTACCAGTCATAGAATTATAACCAATTGATCATTCACTAAAATAACCATTACTTTTGCACTCTTGTATTAGATAGTTTTTCATTATATTCTTTAGGATAATTTAATATTTATATTTAATTTCTTAAAGATTAAACTCGATAATACATCTACACCTGTATTTGCTTAAAGTTAATCTATTTATCGAAGAGCAGAATCAGAGAAAAATTTTAGACAATATATGATACCAAAGTATATAATTTAATTAATAAAGTCTAGGTGACACCATATATAAAGTGGATTCTTATTCTAGAGATATTAGTTTGTTAAATTTATTTGAAGATAAACAGGAACAGGAACAATACTAAAATTTGAATTTATAGGATATTCATAAAAAAAGAAATAAATTGTAAACAATAATTGAGGAAAATAAAATTTACTCTAATAATCATGAAGGATATTAAAGTCAAAATTAATCATAATAGATCACAAAATAATAGTAATAGTTGTCAAATAGTAATCTGCATATTGAAAAACAATAATTACCAAATGTAAACTTTTAAGAATTAGATGAAAATGAGTAGTTTTATTCTATAATTGATAATACTGTCAAAATTACATAATCAGAATAATTTTTTAGTATAATAGATAGAAGTTCTTTTAGACTTAGTTTTAATATTTAATACTCTTAGAAGTGATTCAATTAGTTTATATTTAAATAGTTAATAAATAAATCTTCGATTACTAATGAGCATATTTAATTAAAAAAAACAATTTAGAAATCGTTTAAACTATTATATTAATATAAGTTTTTTATATATATTGTTTAAGCTACATTTGATTTTAATAATTAAACCCATTAAAAATCCAAAATTCATATAGTATAATTATACAAGTATATTATTTTGTTTAATTGTAAATTCAATCATGCATTTTTTGTTTAACTATTATAACTCTTATTATTTTAATAATTAAATAGAATATTGTTTAATTATTAGTATCAATTTGAAAATTAGGGAATGATATTTATCAATAATTAGTAAGGTTCTGGTATATTAGATTATTGATTTAATTTAATCTTTTTAGAGTCTAATAATAGTAAATATAAATAATAGTAAGATTAAATGTAATGTGCCTCTTAAGTAGAAATTCAAAACCATATCAAATAAAATTGATTCTATTCAATTACTTGATAAATTAAGATATTTAAAAATTATAAATTAAGAAAAAAAACAACTTAAAAACATATTTTAAATTCTGGGTAATTTAAATTATTATATACTTAAGATTAGTAATTTGTAATTTTAATTGTAATAAAAGATATTTTGATTATTTAAAATCCTATAAAACAATATAATTAGAATATTTTATAAATAGACAACCCATTGATTTTTGATAATTAAATTATATGCTTATTTTTATTAAATTTAGATAATTAATATCCAAGAATTATAGAGACTTCAATAGAAATTAGAAAATGAAATAAATTATTTATATAAATTTTAGGAAAAGGTGAATCACAATAAAATTTTAATTTTTGTAATTCTTATTCTTTCATCATAAAAATTAAATGAGATATTATATATATGTAATAACATTTTAATTACGCACGATTATTAAAATATCCATTCTCCAACTATAAGAATTATGGTTAGTTAACCTAAGTGAAGCTTGATAAAAGTTTATTAGAAAATATTGAGAATAAACAATATCATTTTATTTAGTACTATAGATAAAATGGACATTTGGTTGCTTAATTAGATCCATTACAATTAATTGAGAAGTAAAAAGAAATGTGATTCATAATTTAGTAAATAAAAAGAGATGCCAGGAGTGTTAGATTTTGGAATCAAATACAATGATGATATTAAGGTTAACAATATTTTGAAGAGGGATCTTAAAAGTATTGAAGAATTAGAAGAATACATAAATAAATTGTATGCATCAAGTGTAGGAGTAGAATTTGAATAAATTGAAGATCCAGAAGAAAAGTAATGGCTACATGAAAATTATGAAAAATTTATCAATGAAGAAATTACCTAAGCTGATAGAGTTAGCATTCACAATCTATTAGTTTAAATGGAAGCTATAGATCATTATTATCATAAGAAATTCACTACTTTTAAAAGGTATGCTGGAGAAGGAGGAGAAGGTGTAATAGTGGCTTTGAGAGCAATCTATGGTTAAGCTGTAGAATTAGGAGTTACAGATGTTGTATAATCAATGGCACATAGAGGAAGATTCCCAATAATGAGCAGTTTGCTAGATTATCCACCAAGTGATATTTTTAGAAAAATTATGGGGGAAAATGATTTACCATAAGAATATACTTTTGGTGTAGATGATGTAGTTCATCACTTATCAACATCAAATAAAAAGAAGTTTAATAACAAAGATTTAACAATTACTGTTGTTCATAATCCATCTCATTTGGAGGCTGCTAATCCTGTTAGTTAGGGTAAGGCAAAAGCTAAGTAAGATGATTATGGTAATGTTAATTAAGTTTTAAATTTATAATTACATGGAGATGCTGCTTTTGCAGGTTAAGGTATTGTATATGAAAGTATGTTGCTTTCTGGATTAGATAATTATACTAATGGAGGAACTGTTCATATCATATAAAATAATTAAATTGGTTATACAACTAATATTAAGGATTCTAGATTTTCAAGATATAGTTCAGATCTTCTATTGGCATACAAATATCCAATTCTTCATGTCAATGGTGAAGATGTAGAAACCCTTCATAAAGTCTCTAAATTTGCTGTTGAATATAGATAGAAATTTAAAAAGGATATATTAATTGACATTGTAACTTATAGAAAATATGGTCATAATGAAGTGGATGAACCTTCTTTTACTTAACCAAACATGTATGAAAAAGTAAGAAAAGCCAAATCTTTACCTTTAAAATATAATTAATTATATTTCAGATAGGAAGACTATGAAAAAATTAGATAAAAAGTATTCACCTATTTAGATTCTGAATATGAAAAGGCCAAAACAATGAAATAAACTTTAGCTAAGATTACAGATGAAAAATCAAAAGGATCTAAGGCATTTACATAGAAATGGAGTAAAATGAAATTTACTCAATTTTGTGAATAAGATGCAAAAACAGGGTTAAATAAGGATTATTTAATCAATTTAGCTAAATAATCAGTTGTTATAAAACCAAATTTTAATTTACATCCTAGATTATAGAAATATTTCATTGATGATCGTTTAGATTAAATATAAAAAAATTCAATAGATTGGGCAACATGTGAAACTATTGCTGTAGGATCTTTATTAGAAGAAGGATACAATGTAAGATTGAGTGGAGAAGATGTTGAAAGAGGAACTTTTAGTTAAAGACATTGGGCATTTATAGATTAAAAAACAGAAGAAAAATGGATTCCTATGTAAAATTTTGCAGATGCTAAATTACAGGGAAGACTTTAAGTTGCTAATAGTCCTTTAGCTGAAGCTTCAGTTATGGGTTATGAATTTGGTTACTCTTTAGAAAACCCTAATAATTTAGTTATGTGGGAAGCTTAATTTGGAGATTTTTACAATACAGGTTAACATATGTCTGATACATTTATAACATGTGCAGAAGAAAAATGGATGAGATAAAGTAGTTTAGTTTTACTTTTACCACATGGTTATGATGGTGCAGGTCCTGAACATTCTAGTTGTAGAATGGAAAGATGGTTATAATAAGGTGTATAAAACTAAAACTTTTAATTTGCAATTCCATCTAATCCTAGTTCTATTTTCCATATTTTAAGAAGATAAATGCATAGATAATTTAGAAAGCCTTTAATAATTGCAAATGCTAAATCATGTATATAATATTATTAATATATTTTTTAGTATTAAGATCAAACAAAGCAAAGTGTACATTTGAAGATCTAGGTGAAGATAAATCATTTTAAAGAATAATTACTCATAAATAAGGTGAAAATCCTAATAAAGTTATATTTACATATGGAAAATATGTTTATGATCTATTAGAATAATTAGAAAAGAAAAATGCTGATAATTATATCATTTTTACTTTTGAATAATTGTTACCATTTCCAAAGTATGAATTAGAATAAGGATTAAAATAAATTAAAAAGGATGTTAAATTTTATTTTGTTTAGGAAGAACCTTAAAATTAAGGTGGTTTTAATTATTGTCAATTACAAATTGATCAAGTATTATCTACTTTATAATTTACCAATAAAACTATAAATTATATAGGTAGACCTGAATGTCCCAGTGTTGCAGTAGGAGCATCTATTCTACATAAATAAGAATTACAAAATATTGTTAAATAAATTGATAGTATATTATGATAAATTATTAAAATAATTTATTTTTATGCAAAAAGAATTAGAAGTTGAAAAGCCTTCTTATTAATAATTAAATGAAGATACCCAAAAATAAAATTGTCTTTTTTATTAATGTGATCCAATTACTTTGTATAATTAAGTAATCTATAATATAATTGTTATAGTTTATAAGATTATATAATTAAGAAATCAATCAAGTAAATGGAATAAAATTAGAAGAGATGAAGCCTAGTAAAGTTGTGCAATTTATTCATAACTATTTACGCAATTTAATTGGTTCATTAATTTTTTTGATTTACTTATTGATTCCAATATTAAACTTAGTTTTTTATATTTTGCTATAACTTGCATTTCTTAGATTGAATTAGAATTATTTGATATTTAGAAATAATATAAGTAAATTATATATAAATTATATAGATTTGGTTTTAGATCCTTTTGGCAATATGGTTGAAAATTAAGATATATGTGTGATGATGAAAAAGAATTATTTGATTTTTAAACTTGATTTAAAAGAAACAGATGGACTTCATTTTTCAAAAAGTGTTAAAGAAATGATTAGAAATAGATCTAGTGGTGTTGGTGACAATAAAATTGAATTTACTATTTATAACTAAAATTTGAAGTAAGATTATTATGGATTTCCAAATTATCGATGCAGTTATTTTGTATGGAGTATTATTAGTTTCCTCATAGTAGTTGGATAATTAATTTTTATTATTATCCTATTAAAAACTATAGATAATGAATGAAAAATTATGTTTTATGTGTATTAAGTAAATAATTGAATGAACAAATGTCATTTCAATATGCATCTTTTAATATGAATCTCAGAATATCTGAAATTGTTATTATGGCTTAAATTTATCTGTTTGAAGATAAACAAATCAAAGCTGAGCTATCTGATAAAACAAGATTTTCAACAACCTTATAGTAATAATTTTGTTACTTCTTTTATGGTTTAATCCATACTAAAGAATTGTTTTGAATAATATTAATATGCTGGTATTCTTGTTTTTTCATTTTATAAGAAAACTAATAATTAAGAAGCTGTTTAAGAAAACTATTTTTGTATTTACATAAGTTTACCAATTCAAATAATCCATTTTTTATTATTAAAATGATGTCTCTTCTGTTGATTTATCCTAGATATTAATCATTACTATTAACAATTGGAATTAAATAAGATTTATGATTATGCATCATAGTATAAAATACTCTTGTTTAAAATTAAATAGATACTAATAAACAGTTTCATTTTCTTTACAAGTTATAATTTCTTTTTATCTATTATAATTACAAAAAAATGCTTTAATATTGATTTAATGTTAAGATAGAATATTATTTTATTATTTTAAGATTGTTCCTAAATATTAAGTAAATCCTTTTATTAAAAATGATAATATATCCTTTTAATGAATAACACCTTAAAACATTAATGTTTCTGGATCTACTACAAAAAGACGACTTGTACCAGATTTTACTATTTTTACACAAGCATCATATAATCTTTCATCATTTCTTCCTTATATAAATCCAATAGAAGATTGCAACTATTTTGAATAAAAAGTGAATAATTACATCATCTTTCAAAATACGATTCCATTATCTAATGGAAATAGTTTTCATTTCATAAATTAATCTTAATTTTTAATCATCATTCAATTCTTTTGGTTATTATTTTTGAGATTGATTATTCTATATTATTTCTTCTTGATCTTCACCTTCCTCTTCAATTACATTAAATAATGGACCAGACTGTTATACTTAATTAAATTTAATATTATACATGAAGATTTATTGTTAAATGCATTTTCGTATAATTTCAATAAGACTTTTATTAAATCTGAATGTGTAAATATGCCATCATAATTAGAAATATCTGAATTCCAAAATAATGTTTCTTCTATATTTTCCTCAACAAAAATCTAAAATACTTCCCAACAAGTGAATGTCTAATCCAAAACAATCAACTATAATAATTATTAATATACTAATACCTAATTATGATGTGCCAAACAATCATAAAGTGTATTGTCTTTTAGAAATTAAGTAATTGTGTCTTTGTATTTGCAAATTTCTTAAGTTGAGATTTATAATTAATTCATAATATAAATTTTATATCATTAATTGAGCTCTTTACTTATTGAATCAATAAATCTTAAATTCTACATTTAATTTATGAATAATTATTTATTCAAGTACATTAAAATCTATGGACATCTCATATTCTTTCACTTCCAAAGGATCATAAATTACTATCTTGAAAGGTACATATTCTAATTTATAATGGTGTAAATCATATTAAATTGATTTATTTATTTTAGCTTATAAACCATTTCTAAGACATGCTTAACTTAATTAATTAGATAATGGGAATTCATTTAAATCATAAACAAATCTATACTTTCCATTTTATTTTTATAGTTTTATCATTATTAAAAATGTTTCTAATTATACTTTCTGTAACATATAGCAAAGATGTAAAAATTCTAATAATGTAAATCCTTATTTCAAGATTGTTTTTTTTAGTTATTTCAAATATAATTAAGGTGGATGTAATGTTAAAATTACATATCTTTAATCAGTTTCACACACTTATTTTAAACATTTTTAATTTAAATCAATTATGTACTCTAATTATTAATCTTATTTTACATGCTTATTTTATTTATAATTATTTTAAAGTACTTTAATCATAAATATCAAATCCTATTTCTTTTATCCTTAAATTATGATGTTATCTAATATAAGTTCTTTATTTTCCAAAATTGATTCTTTAACACTATACTAATATATAATTATTACGTATTATTAAATAGTACAAAAATTATTTCCAATTAAATGTAGCACATCTGAATTTGTTAAATAAATCACTTCATTTTAACCTGAATCTTAAAAATAAGCTTATAATATTGGATATTAAATATCAATTATCCCTAAGTCTTATATAGAGACAGAAATGGGAGTAGAAGGGATCTAATATTTTGAAAATAAATTTTAATGTTATCCAATATCTATATCTATATTTACATTTAAATTAATTGACAGGTTTTCACAAATATATTTGTTTATTATTTATATTGATTCTAAATGCATTAATTGAGTAGTTTCTTCAAAACTCAATTTTCTTATGAAATTTCTAAATTTTATTGTAAAAGTATTAAATGACAATATAACAGCATATGTATCAGTAAGCACTATTTTTTCATAAAATATTTATTTTTTAGGGATTATTTCAACTAATTTTGGTGATTCAATCTCTTCATCTGAAATTATATTAACTTATTTTTCATTTAAGCATCTTTTAGGAGATCTTTATCCAAATTTTTATTCTTGATATACTTAACTTTATTCTATTTGTTCATTGTCACATAGATATTAGAAATTTTTGATTTCTGTATTTTTTTTCAAAGGTGAAAGAATTCTAGGTTTTCTTAATTAAAAATTAATCATTTTGGCTCTTTTAATTAACCAAGCCATAATAATATAATAGTCATATCTTCAAATACTCCCTCTGATAATATCCAACTAGATTTGCATTACTTATATAAAGATTCACAAGCAGATTAAATATCACTCAGAGAAAAGCCACTTAAATGATTCTTAATATCATCATCTACTTGATAGACAAAGGCTGGTGATGTAGATAATACTAAGAAAACATCTTAATTAGTTATATCATATTCTCGGAAACTTGGTTCTGATGATACTCCTATTACATGGGCTATTGCATCACCTATACTTCTAGACACATGTAATTATGGATACAACCTGCCTCTAACAAAAACATATTCTTCTCCTTAATGATTCTTTCTCACTTCTCCTCCACTATTAAATATTCTAGTTTTTTCAATATTATCACTAGGTGAATGAATTGGTAATATTTAAGTGATATTCTTAATTTATTTAGCATTATGAATATGTTCTTTTTGGATATAGACTCTATTATCTCCAATTTATGCACAAAATAATTTGGAATCTCTTTAAATGATAACTAAATTTAAGAATTTATATAATACCTGTTATAACACAGCCACTAAGTAATATATTATGAGTATCATCTAGTTTCTTTTTTTCAATGTATATTTTTAATTTTTCTTGTAACTTTTTAAATAAAGTCTCCAATGCTCTCATAGGATTTATATAAAATTTAGGTGTTCTTATTAAGTAATGAAATACCAATTTATAAGTTAAATTACTAATTTATTCTCCAAATTCACCATGTCCATTAGTTAAAATAAAAATCTTCTAATAAATATCATTGTAGATTAAATAATCTTAAGACAAAGGTGTAGTCTCATTTTTATTTCCTTTTTTACAAGTAATTGCAATTCCAATTTAGTTTAATAATTATTCAGGAGAGTAATCAGTTTATATTTCTGATTTAGAATCATTTTGATTATCTTCTTTAAATGAATCTTCTGATTATTATTCATCTATATTTTATCTACATGCTAATTTAACTAGTTTATCTTTTCCTGACAACAATTTCTATTCACTAATAATAGTTCTTATATATAATTGATTTACAGGATAATTATGAGGTAAATGTTATTTAACTAAATGTATAGTTTGAGTAATATCATTAATATTAAAATTAGTTAAAAATTATTAATCAGTTTTTGAATTTATACTACTTTTTCTAGATGTTATAGCTTCTTCAGCCTATAAAATACGTTATTTAATTATTTAAGTGCCATCGTCTCTCTCTTCTAAAGAATCATCACTTTAAAAATTCTAGAATTTAGTTGATCTTCTATCATTTCGTAATTATTTTTCTTCAATATCGCTTTCTTCCTCACTGTCTGTATAAGTTTTTTTCTTTTAATTTGAAATATGCATATTACTTGATTTAACTGATGAGCTTGGAGATTATGAAATTTAATCAATATCATCAGAAAACACAATTGAAGGTCTTTATTCTAATTAAATAGATTATTTTTGAGATTTATTCTTAAATTAAGATTCCATAAAATTCTTAGTTTCTAAATTTTTAAACATTGTCATTTTAGTTTTCCATTTTCTTGATAATTATGATTATTCAATTCCAACTCCTTCATCAATAAATATATTATTTTAAATTGGAGATTTTGAATGTTTTTATTCTTATTCTATACTTGCACCACTTCCCATTATTTTTATATTCAATTATAGTTTTTTTATAATGTGTTATTTAACAAATTAATAATAATATAAATTATAAATGATATTGATTACATTTCAGTATTATTGCTTTAATGAAGACTACTTAGATCCATCACTAATCAAAATATTAGGTAATCTCCAAGCCTTATTTATATATATGAATACTCTAATATATCTATCTTCTCCTGCCGTTATCAACAAATTTTCATTCTCAAAATTTCTTATCTTACTAACACTATTTATATGAGCATTTATTATAACTAAATAATATATAATATATTGTTTACATAAAGATGAAAAATCTGAACTATCATGTGCTGTTACTGATCCATCTTTATTACCAATATATATCACTTATCTACTCTCTGAATTACTAATTTCTTTACTCTCTCATAGTTAATTTATTATCTTACTTACACTTTCCCTTTGCCTTTCTATAAAACTGTATATGTATCTGTTTCTAAAATTTAAATTATTCCATTTTAATTCACAGAATATAATTTATTATTGCTTTTTGTAATTCCCTTTATATTCTCTAATTAAGTTTCAAACTTAAGTAAAAGTGACATTTTTTAATTATGAAGATCATAAACATAAATAATGCCAACTTAATCATACACATATGCTTTCTCATCACTAATTAACATTCCATTTAGATCTCTAAGACTCTAATTAATTAAAAAATCATTTTTATTCATTGAAAAAACCCTTTTATGGATAAAATAATTAATACTTGAATTCAGACTCACTTATAGAACATAAACATCCATTAATCAAATGAACAGCTAATACTTTTGATGAATGTTAATTATATTCTTTAAATGATGCTATCTCATTTTATTGATTCAATAAGAATAAAGTAAGTGAACCATCTATAAATCCAATTACAACAGTATTCTCTAGATGATGAAAACAACTAGTTTATTTAATAAATGAATGAGTCCATTCTTTCTTAAATACTTCTTCTTTTTAAAGCCAACATTCTAAAGTTCCCAATGCTTATGAATTCTGATTTACTTTATTAAAAATAGAAGGTACACTCTTCTTTTCACTTCCCAATACTAACATCAAACCCATGTCAAAATTTATAGTAAAGTCTTTAATTGGTTAACTAACTCCTTCAAATTCATAAATCATTTGAATTGTTTAGGCTAATCCTAAAAATTATTAAAATTGATAAGATTTGACTATTCGAGGGTTCTTGTATAACTCTTTGATATAGATATCAAGAGCTTTTTGACGTTTTTCTAATTATTCAATAGATTTGCCAATAAGCACAGTCACATATTATTTGGGTGGTAAATTGGGCAAAGGAAAATAAGGTAACAAAGATTGATGAAGTTCTTCGAATTGAGAAAATCTATTACTCTAAAGTAATCAATACCTTTTTTGTAAAACAGTATTCTCAAATTACACAACATAGTATATAACATTATTTTGATTTTCATAGCCCACAACAGAAATCATAAATTAATTACAATTTCAATAGTTATTCATACACATATAGTCATCGTCTGTTAATTTGTCTTAATAAAATTATAACATGTAAAATTTTAAGGAAGAAACACTTGTACGATCACTTGTCTCTAATATATGTAGACCTATTGTTGAAAAGTAATCAAACTATTGTAATATAGACTTGAAAATATTTAAAAGGATGTTGAAAACATTTAGTTTTATATACATTAACATACAAGAAAGATAGATATTTTATAAGATAAGTCAGATCAATTATCATTTGATATGTAATGTAATAACTTATATAATAGAAAACTTAATAATGATGTAATTGAGCATTTTAAAAAGAATTTACAAGATGATTAATAAAAAGTACTTGAGATGGAAAAGCATTTTAATTTAGAATTCAATAAAATAAGATTAGAATAAGGAGCTATAAAATTAGATTAAGAAAACGAAAAGAAGGAAATCAAAATATTAGGTGATGTTTAATAAAGTTTAACTGAGAGAGTTGAAATATACAATAATTATCAAAGTTAGAAATTGTATCAATAAGAATTTGCAATAAGTAATGTAGACACTTCAAATACTAAAATAGTCAAATAATTAACAGAAACTAATCTGAAAGTATCAAATCTAATCTATTTATTAGAATAAAGAAGAAATATAGACTTTAAATACATTAACAAAAGATCTATTATCTAAAATTTAAAATAATGAATAAGAAATCATTAAAATTCAATGTAGTAAATAGTGGATGTAAGATATGATTGTAGAATTAAGATAAAAATCATAATTCTTTTTGACTATTGATTAAATGGATTTGATTTAGTAAACACCTATAAAAATACTTCCTAATCTCATCTCTAATAATAATCAAAAAATCTCAAAGTATTAATCATATTTTTATTAGTTAAGTTGATTTAAATTAAATATAAGAAATAATTGCTGATAAATTTGAATAATTAACAAATTTATTTTCTACTTAAATTTAATAATCATAAGATTAACATAAAATCTAATTAGATGAATTTAAAAATACATTAAATAAACTTAAAAATGAATTTGCTAAAAATAATTAATTTATCAATACCTTTTTAAAGGATACAAATGAAAAATTATTAAATGCAATTAATGTAGCTTAAGATTAAAAAATTATATCAAAATAATAAATCAATCAACTTGATGAATAAATCAAAAGATAATTATAAAAGATTACATAAGATATTTAAACTATTTAAACTAATATAACTGGACTAGATCTTCGAATGGCTGAAACCCATTTAAGAGTTGTTCATGTTCAAGAAAAATAATAAGAAATATAAGTTCATTAAACCTCTTTTTAATATTTAAATAATCATAATGAAATTATAAGTTGTATGCCTATGAAATAAGATTCATTATATTCTGATTCTTTTTTAATCAATAATGCTATTACTTAAAAAATTATTAAAACTGATTAATCTATTTAAGCTCAACCTATATAATAGATTTAAATGAAAAAATAAGGAGAAATATAAATTGTAGAATCAGATTAAATTATATTAAATTAAGATGAATAAGAAATCTATACTAAAAACTTACCAAAAATTCAAAATGATATTATAAAACTTAAATCAGATTTTTTTAATGAATAATAATTCAATCAAAATCAAATTAACAAATTATTAAAATCAAAATCAATTACTGATTAATAACTTAAAGATATTGATTAATAATTAAAATAGTTTAATTAGTATTTTGGTGTTATATTCTCTTTAATTTTACATAATGAATTAATAGGAACAGATAATCATGCAAAAATTATCGGAAATGGATTTAAATTCGAATTCATACCTTTTTAATAAGATGAAACTACAATGATGTCTTATTAAAATAATAAGATTGCTAAAGTGGATCTTTTAATGAAAACTATTACTAGTAATCATTCTATTATTAAAAAATAAAGATAAAATACATTCGAATTCTAATAAGAAAAAAAGAGATTTGATACTGAAACAAGTAGAGAATTATAAAGTATAATTTATAATTAAAATTATAGCTATGTATAGTAATAAAAAGTATAGATTATGGGATGATAAATAAATCACTTAGACTGAAAGACTTAATTTATCTGTTGATGCTTCAGGATATTAATAATTACCAAAGTAGAAAGTAAAGAAAGTTCTAGTAAAATATAAGAGATTATTAAATTGATTATTTATTTATAATATAAAGGATTAAAATGGAAAATTAATTAATAGCATTTGTAGGTGATCCTGCTGTTGGAAAAACTTCAATTATTAAATATTTAAAGGGATTAGAGTTTGATGAAGATTATAGTCCAACAGAATAAATAGAAAGTACAGATGTTACAATTCAAAATAATGAAACAATTACTATTTATGACACACCAGGAAATGTAACAGAGAGAAAATAAGTAATTGAAATGTTAAAGAATATCCATATAGTGTTTGTATGTTTTGATGTTGAAAATATTGATTCATTTGATTCAACATTATAATGGTTAGATGATATCAAAAAATAAATTAATAATTCAATGTAAGTATGTCTAGTGGGATGTAAAATTGATTCTGATAACAGATAGATTTCTTAAGAACAAGCATTTGAATTTATTAATGATTATCCAAATGTAGAATATTTAGAAATTAGTGTAAAAACAGGAGAAAATATGGATATGCTTATTGATGTAACTAAATTTTATTATTTATTAGAAAATACCAGTAACAACACCTTAAGGAGATGGGGACTTATAATAATCTTATAGAACATAATAATCAAATAAATAATCTGAAAAACCTATTCATAGTCCTGAAAGATAATCATAAACTTATAAATCCTAATCTAGTTTATTAAATAAGGAGGAACCTCTATGGAAAGTTTATGACTTTTTATTTCCAACTGGTAGAGTTGCTAAATTAGTAAAGATATCTGATGTTGATGCAAAAAATCTATCTATTTAAGATATCTTATTTAAATTGCAATTAAATTAAAGTTATCCAGTTGTAAATTTGATTGGAGCAAAGGAAACAAATAAGGGTAAATTCTATGCAGGAATTGCAAGGGCTTGTTTTAATACTGTATCAAATTTATCTTATTTGATTTTAGGATGCTGTAATAGTAGATAGTGGAATTTCAACAGGAATTGAAAAATATGTTATAAGAAGAGGTATCAAATTAATTGGAGTGGCTCCAGAATAAGAAGTCAAATATCCAAATTAAAGTACTGGATTTATAGATCCTTTTGAAATAAGCAATGGACATACTCATATATTTCTTTTAAGTAATAATTGTTTCATAATTATATAGATAATAAAGAGAAAATGATGGTTTTTGGATTAGAAGGTGTTTTTAAAATTAATTTATGTAAAAAGTAATATATTAAACATATTATTAATTTAGATTGGCTGAAGGAAGATTAGCCAAAAATGGTTAAAGAGAAAGTATGAAAGTTGTTCACATTCTTTTAGGAGAATAAGAAGGATTTTTAAATGAATTATAATAGGCAGTTATGGCTAATCATCCAATTATAGTGATAAAGGGATCTCCTTTATGTGATTAATACTTTTAAAATTATAATAATCCTCATGCAAATTATTCAAATGCAAGTAATGGTTTCTTTTTATATTAAATAGGTTTTGGATAATTAGTAAGGAAAGGCCACTTTTATGGACTAAATAGTTTAGATTCTGAAGATATTGCTCAATATGTCCATTTCTTTTTGACAGTGACTCCATATAATTGATTAATTATTCTTATGAATTGTAAATTTACGAAATCATATTTTGATGATTCCAAACCTGCTGATTCATTTTGGATCAAATAGCCTCTAGTGATTGAGGAATCTAAAATAGATTATTAATGTCTATTGTTCAAGAAAAGTTATAAAACAGGGTTTTGGGTGAGTAGAAATTACTTAATATATGATTCTAAGCTCATCAAGGTTAAAGTAATTCTCATCTTTCTATTTTAGCCAAACGCAAGACAATGTCATATGGTAAATCTGAACTTGTCTAGAATTCAAAAGTTAAAGTACGAAAATAAACAAGAGAAGGAGAGTTTTAATAAGGTTAAAGTGCCTATTCAATATTTTAGAAGAAATATGGGTTTCGTATTATCCGAAATAATCAATACAGGGAGCTCTATAGTAGATCAAAAGAACTGAATTAATAACTATGGGATCATCTAAGAAAGTGTGCTATTCTTACTCAATTTAAAGAGGATTATTCATTAGAGAAGATGGTTGGAAAGGGGAACTTTGCAAAAGTGTATTAGACTATAAACAAGGAAACAAAAAAATTATATGCCGTAAAAGTATTTGAAAAATCCAAAATAAAAAATTCTGAAACTGACCGATAAGCCTTGGTAAAAGAAATGACTATATTGAGACAATTAAACCATAAGGGTCTCATTAAATTATATGAGGTTTATGAAGATGATTCTAATGTCTTCTTTATTTTAGAATATTTAGAAGGAGGAGAATTACATAATCATATTTAAAAAAATTAAAAATTCCCTGAAAAAGTAGTTGCTAAAATTCTAGCTACTATTTTAGATTCATTAGATTACTTATAAAAGTAAAATGTGTTGCATAGAGATTTGAAACCTGATAATTTAATATTAAGAAACAAAGGTATCTTAGATGATGTTGTTATTACTGATTTTGGATTGGCTGACTTTTATTCTTCAACTGGTAATTATATGTTCTCTAGATGTGGAACTCCAGGATTTGTGGCTCCAGAAGTATTATAAGATAAACTATATGATTACAGAATTGATGTATTTAGTGTAGGTTGTTTAATGTACTTACTTTTAACACATAAATAAGCATTTAGAGGATCTAATTATGATGAAATAGTAATGAAAAACTATCATTGTAAAATAGATTTTTAATCAATTGATAATGAAATATCAGCTGATGCTATGTCATTATTAAAATAGCTTCTTCATTCAAAATAATAATGTAGACCTACAGCAAGATTAGCACTTAAACATAAATGGTTTTAAAACAACTTAGATGAGATTCGATTCAAATAATTAAATAGTGATCTCTCTGATACTAAAGACTCAACAATTAAATCAAGTTTAAGTGATATTCCTTTTTTATATCTGAATAAGAATAAGAATTCTAAATTAAATTTCTCGACTCCTCAATAACATTAAATTATTCAGAAAGGTAAAGAATCATAATTGTTTACTCCATAAGTAATGCTACAAATTGATGAATCTTTAGATGATAACATCAATTCCCTTAAAATATTGGATGATACTATTACTGATATTCAGGTTGATGAGGAATCTCCATAATCACATCTTCTACCTTAATATCAATTGATAAGTAAGATGAAATTAGTTGTAGATTCAAAAGCCTCTTCACTCTATGGATCTCCAATGATATTAGTAATTATATAATAAAAATATTAGAATACTCCAGATGTGGCTGCAAGGAAATTAACATAAGGTAATTAAAAAGAAGAGATTGCTCAGATTCAACCTCAAAAAATAGCAAATAAAGTAATGAATAATTTAAGAAGTCTTGAATCTTAATGATGATTATATATTGTTTCTATGAGATTTATATATTAATTGAATAAAAAGTACGTCATTATTAATGTTAAATAAAATCCTAAGATCAATAAATAGGTTTTCAACTGTGTATCCAAAAAGGAATTTCAACATTGAGTACTTGTAAGATGTAGAAATCATTACAAGAGATTATTATGGTAGTTTAAGGAATATCTTAAAGTCATTCTCAAATCATAAGATTAATCTTTATGATATAGAAACACTAAAATTGAATAGAACAACCAAGTATTCTTTAATTATTATAATAGAGGATAAAAGATAGTTGTAAAATTGACCTTTGAAAAAGTTGAAGATTATAAATTTAATGAGTTGGTTTTTGACTTAAAATAGAGATATGACGAAGTCGTCATTGATAATGATTCCTAAATTCCTACAGTTCCATGGTACCCTAGAAATGATGAAGATTTGAAAACAAGTACTTTATAAAATCATATACAAAGTTGGATTAATCATGTAAGTAAATGAAGAAAACAATTAAGATCATCCTTAATTTAAAGATTTGGAATATAGAAAAAGAAGAGAAGAAATAGCAAAGATTTCATAAGGTCATATGGTAGGTGAACCAGTACCATATATTAATTATACTGAACAAGAAGAAGAAACATGGAAAAAGATATACACAATTTTAAGAGAAAAGGTTTAACAAGTGATGTCTTAAAGATATCTAAGAAATTTAGCTAAGATTGAAAATGCTTTGGGATTCAAATATAAAATACCATAATTAAGAGATATTGATGCCTATCTAAAAGCAGAAACAGGATTTAGAATAAAAGCAACACATGGAATTTTAAGTCAAAGAGAATTTTTAAATGCTCTGGGACATAGAGTTTTTTGTTGTACTTAATATATGAGACATCATTCAACACCTGAATACACTCCAGAACCAGACATTGTTCATGAATTAGTGGTATTCTATATAGTTTAATTTATTAGGGTCATGTACCATTATTTGCAGATAAAGAAGTAGCTGATTTATCTCAAGAGATTGGTATTCTCTCATGTGGAGCATAATAAAAGGATTTATCAAGACTTGGAACTTTGTATTGGTTTACTCTTGAATTTGGGGCTTGTAAAGAAAATGGATAAATTAAAGGATATGGTGCAGGAATTGCAAGTTCTATAGGGGAATGTGAAGTAAGAAAATACTTATTTTAAATAGCATTTTCCAAAAGCTAATTATGAAAAATTTGACCCTTTTATCCATGCTGATAGAGCCTATCCAATATAAACAGTATAACCAACATACATGTATACTGAAAACTTCGAAGAAGCTATGCAAAATTTAATTATTTTTGGTAAAAGTCTTTAAAAACCTTTTGGATTATATTATGATGGTATAGAGAAAGAATTAAAGGCCACAAAAAGAATTAAAACTCATCTTAATAGTCAATGAATATTTCTGTATCCAAATTATAATACATACAATTTATTTGTATTAATATTCCAATTATATGTTTTCTTAAAATATAGATTTCATCTTGTAAATATTAATCAATTTTAATAAATAAATATATTAATTATGTCAATTTTGCTTAATAAAAGTAAATTTTTGTTCTGAAGGATTAATTAAATATTTTAAAATAGATTCTTCTGGTTTAAAATTATAATTAGAGATAAAATTGTATCTATTTGAAAAAATCTTAAATATTTCCTTCATTTTAAAACTACTACTTCCAATATCATAATCAGGATCTAATGGACTTATCAAAGAAAATTTATCATCAATTGTAGGCTTATTAATAATACTTCCTCCATTTACCATCAAAATTCGCTTTTTTTGGTAATCGAATTTAGAACCATAAAATTCTAAGAACTTTACAATATATTCTCCTAATGTAATATTTTTTAATTGGTCTTATTTCTTATTAGCAATATAATCTTTTCTAATTTCTCTCAAGAATGCTAAAATCATTTGAAAAAGTAAAAAAGAACCTATTCCACCACTGTATGTTTCATTTAAATCACGTTATTTCAACATGCATTTTAAAATCATTAATAGATATTTGAATTCTGGATATATTGTAAATGCTTTTTGAATTTCATCAATTTATTTCATACCATCTATTTAATTAAATGAGATATCAAATTAAAATTGAGATTCAGATTCAAAGAATTTTATTATAGGTACTTTTGCATTGGCAATTAAATTTACATTTTCAAATTTATCACTTTTCATTAAAATTGAAGCAACTTTTTTATATAATTCTTTTGCAGATATGCTTTTATCAATCATAACAATATCAATATCTGCATTAGGTAAATAAAGTTTAGTTTTAAAACTACCAAATGCTTAGATATCTACTTATGAAATGTACTCTTTTACAAACATTTCAACTCTCATAAAAGCTTACTCTCTTTTTCTATGCTCTTCAATTGTAGGACATATGTAATCATAAAATTCAATGATTTCATTATGAAATCGAATTGTTGGATGTTTTATAGACGCTGTTTTTTGACTAAACCATGGAGTAATCTCACTGTCAAATTAGTACTCATTTTATTTTATTTATTTTGATCTAAATTTGCAAATTCAATATTACATCTTTGGTTCATCATCATCAATGATTATAGCTTGATTTTTGTTTTCAAAATTCTTTATTTTCAAAGAAAAATGTTTGTGCCTTTCTTACATGTCGAAGCAAAATTAAATTAATTTATATATATATAAAATATTTAACCACTCTATATAAAATTAAGTTCAGAATAATTTATTAGAATAAAAAATTGATTATATAAAATTATAATCAATAAATTTTAATATGAAAAAAGAATATTGCTCATATTTTAACAACATCTAAACTACAAGATTAAAATTTTATAATTTTTTGATTTCTCATCATTATTAAAAGTAGCATAAACTATAAATAGAGATATAAAAAATTTTAAATATTTGATTTTGTAATTTAATTAGAATAATCAATACAAAATATTTCCTATTTTCATTTTAAATCGCATTAATAGCATAAAATATACAAATTATAATTATTTTTTTGAATTTTTTTTATATTTTTTAATATTTTTGTAAATCATCTACTCTCCGTAATGCTTTTACCATTATTTTGTCTATTATATTAAATCTATCTCATATTGATGAATATTAATATTAACTTAAATAAATATAGATAAAGAATTTTATTTTTTGTTTTATTAACAGCATAAAATTAGATAAAATGCCTCAATTAAATTGATTTATTGATTAATACTTATATATATTGCAAATTTAAATCAAAGAACAGAACCTGCAGCTGATGCTATCTTTGGCCATAAATCAGCGGCTTCTTTTCCAACTGGACCTGTAATAGCTGATCCTTTCATTTCACCCTTTGGATTGATAATAACACCAGCATTATCTAATAATTAATTTGATATCTAAACCTTCAAAATAAATATAATATCCTTCTCGACGTCTATATGGTTTTCTTTGTCTTACAACAACAGCTTACATTACTAAGATTAAATATTTAAATTACCCTTCTTTCTAAGTGCTGGCTTACCCTATTTGACTGAGCATAAAACCATATCACCAATAGAAGCAGATGGTAATCTACTTAAATGTCCTTTAATTCCAAATGTTGAAATCACGTAGATATTTTTAGCTCCTGAGTTATCAGCACAATTTAAAACAGCACCGACATTGCAAGCAAGTGTAATTCTCAATTTAATACCAACTTGTCCTCCTCTTCCTCTCTTTGACATTGATAATTTTTTTAATTAATTTTTAAAATAGATTTGTGATTATTTAAGTCTTAATAATCTATTGATCAAAAAGAAATATAAACCAATACTTAAATTATTATCTTACTAATGCTTTAGTACAAAAGTCAATAAAAAAAAGTGATAATATAGAAAGATTATAATAATTTATTACTTTTGTGATTTAATATTCTAAAGAAGTATAAAAATAAGTAAAAAGAAATCTAGATAAGAATAAAAGTATTTTAAAATAAGATTATTTCAACCTATATTATTATTATTTCTTAAAGAGTTGATTTGATTATTATAAAATATTAATCATATATTAGTATACTTTTAATGTAGGATATTAAATATAAATCAAGTTAAATTGGATTAACAAAAACTATTAAGAATAGAATGATGAATTTCTTTATAAGTTTTATTCTAAATTTTTTAATGTTTATTTCATTTGATGAAATAATTATAGTAATTATAATCAGAAGAGGGTAGGGCATGCAAAAGATTTTTAGTAGCTAAAAGTGTTTCTTAAGAACATAGAATTAAAAGCAATGATAGTCGACCTTATAACATCTTTACACCAACTTACGATGAGTATCTGTTATAAAATGGACCTTAATTTACAGAAAATGGGGACGTGGTTTAACATTCTATTGTAGGTAAGAGTGAATGGTTTAATAAACAAAAACTTGGGAAAAGACTATAATTTGATGATTTGGCCTCTAAATAATTACCATTTCATAAAGGGTTGATCAGATAAGACACAGCAGATAAAGGATCAGCACCAAAAAGTGAATAAAAAAGTACAAAATTTGGGAGTAGTGGTAAGTAAAAGAAAAATCATAATAACAATTTAACAACTAAAAATCAACTAATTGAAGAATTGAATAAAATTATGTAGAGAATAAAAACAAATACAGATATAGAAAAAGGTAAAGTAGAATAGGTATAAAATATAATTAATTAAGTTGGAACCATAATTGAAAAGAGTATTAACAAAAGAAACTAGAGTTTTAAGTAAACATGAAGAGACTGAAAAATATTGGAACTATTTTACTGATAGACAGGCTTGTTTATTAAATAGAGATAGGATTAGTTCTTAATTATTGTAAGCAGAAAAATACAAATTAAAAAATGATACTGCTTAAGTATTTAATGTGTTGAATACAGAATATGAAAGAATTGGAATAAATCATTGGTAAAAAACGTTGAGGAGATTTGAAAATTCAAAATATAAGAAAATAAAAGTAAAAGGAAAAGAAATGATAATTGAAAAGGAATAAAAAGAGGATTTTATAGTAGTATAATAATATTATTAATTAGGGTTCTGATTTACCTAGAGCTTTTAGTGAATAATCATTAGTGGGTAGTCGCTTAGAATATATATAAAAACCAGAAGCTAAAGTTATTAATGAACCATTAGCTTTTAAAAGTTTCAAAAGCAATAAATATTTGCTTTAAAGATTAGATGAAACTCAAGATTATTTTTAAAATTCATATATGATATCTCCAGATAAAAGAAATGATTTTGATAAACTAATTATTTTAGGCAAGAGTTAATTTGAGATAGAAAAGGAAATGTTATTAAATGATGGTGGAGATAGTACAGGAGTGTATCGTAAAGACATAGATAAACCTCCAGATGAATTTACAAAAGAATAAATTTATGAACAACAATATGCAAATAAAGTTAAGTTAATTCTACCATAATTAGGAAAGTGGAAATCTAAAAAGTTAGGCCCATTAACTAATTAGAGTGAGAAATCTGAATTGAGTGATGAGTGGGTTGCTGATGATATCCTTAAAATCTGAATAATTTATATTTATATATATATATAGATATTATTATTTATAAATTCAACCAAATTAAATTGCAATACTACCAGGCATAGATCTATGAATCATTACTTCATTTTCTTCAATCATCATACTCTTAAATTCTTATCCAAAGTAAGCATCTTTATTTTCATTAGTAAAACAAGCTTTCTATCCTTCTAGTTTTGGTTCTTTAAATAAACAAATTCTTAATTATGCAGAATTTGGATAACGTATATCTAACAAAGCAATCTAATAAAAATATTATATTATAATAATTACTTCACATTTTCCCATAGATCCTAACATCTCAAATTATGCATTCATAAAATCCATTTGATTGCATATAACTGATGTAAAATAAAATACTTCTCCTTCACAAGCATTCCATAATAATAAAACAACACATTTAGATGTATCAGTTATATAAATAGGATATTCAGCAGATGCAGACATTCCTTAATTTATTAAGCATATCTCTGGTTTATCTAAGAATAAATAATCATTATGAAATGCAGCTATTACTATATCTTAATTTTTATCTCTTTTGAATTTACTGATTCCTAATATAACTGTTTTATCACTATGAAATTTAACTGAATTAGCTTAAATTTCAGGTAAATCTAATCCAATTTTTTATATTGGATTTCTATTCCCACAAATTTATGTACTTGCACCACTCCAATCACAATCTTTTAAGAAATTCAAACACACTTTTCTAGTTTCAACCCATTAACCAATTTCTCTTTTATTTGTTTCACATTTTCCATTTCTTTATCCTTATAATTATAATAAATTGCAATAATCAGTTAAAGCCTTTCTATAATAATTATGTTAAATAATTACTTTAAATTTTATCCAATTTTTTAATATTCCTTAACTTAGGATAGTTATCCTTTTCCTTCCAATACTAATTCACTAATACTTTTTAATGTATATCTAATAGGAGTTGGTTCCAATTCAGTTTCTCTTAACCAATCTTTAGGAGTATTTTCTGTACTTTATGGCCCAATTTCAATAGTGAAACTTTAAGTACTTAATTTAGATACATCACTATAGGCCTTAGCTTCTTGTTCCTTAGGTAATATTTATTATCCTATAACTCCTTTAAGAAGTGCTGATGTAATAGTAGCTGCTTATTTTAAATCAATTTCTTTAAACTTTTTTTAATCAAAATCATCAACTATTCCAGGTGGTAAAGTATATACATAACCTACTTTAGATCCAAGTACTATATCAGTTGCATAATGTGTTCCAAAATTATTTAAGAATTCCAAATATTAAGGTGCTGAATATTCAACTGGTAAAGCTGATAATTGATCAATAAAACTTTGATGAAATTCTGCTAATTCAGGAACTTGTGTAATTTATGCTATTTAACATGAAGCTATAGAAACCACAAAAGTAGAAGATGTTTACTCTATTTTTGATTACATATGATTGAATTCAGATGATGATGTGAATGCCCATGGAGTAATATCAATATTAGACACTAAATTAACTCTATATTATTAGAGATAACATACCCAACAAAAGAACTCATTAAATTTTGAATTTATTCTGTATTCTTAATTACAAATGACTCAAAGTTATATTTACATCCTTTCTTTGTAATGACATTTAAATTATCTGGAATTTTATGTCTTCCATCTGAAGTTACTTATTTTTTGCTATATGAAGTCAAAAATATGTTTCTTCCTGTAAAACCAGGATCTGAAGTTTCTCTCCAAGTTATTGGATTACCCATGAATAAATTGTAACCACTAAAAATGAAATCAATATTTGCAATTGCCTTAGGATCTGCAGCTTAAAAATTACCTCCATCATGTAATTCTTGCATCAATAAATGTTATAGATTCTTCTACTATTTTTCGTTTATTTCTAAGAATCCATTTGCTATAACAATAACAATGAGAAGTAATGCAGTTCTCATAAATAAAAACGTATTATAAAATAATAATATAATAATGGATTCGATGGATAATTAGTTTTAGGAAAAATTTTAATAGTTGTTAAAGCTTAAAGAAATCTATTCTACTCGTAATGTCTTACCAGAAAGAATTTAGAGATTGAAACTGGTTGATATCAATTTTTAAATCAAATATATTCGATAAAAACAACAAAATAGATTTAACTAAATAATTAACAATTCAATTGCTTCTCAACATATACCAAAAAAGTAATCAACTGAAAGAAGTTTCTCTAATTAATTGAGTCATTTGAATATTGCTGATTAATAGAATATTTGTTTAAATTGTGAAAAGTATATTTTTGAAAAGAAAGTAACATTATTTTGCCAAAACAAATATAGTCATAACTACCACTCAAATTGTTTAGCAAATATTATGAAATAGCAATTAGCTAATTAATGTATCATATTCTAATGTTTATGTAAAAGCTAAATAAATAATGGATAAATCTCAAAATAAAAAATATTAGAATTAGATGTTTACATAAATAGATTAATGATAAATTAGTTAAGCTATTTAAAAACTCATTGCTAATATATCAAATAATGTGCAAATAAAGATTGTGATTTTTTTTGGATCTATAAATAACAATAAAAGTAAATAAGATCCCGTTCTAACTCTCCTGTTAAATCTTATAAAATTACATATACAAATTATTGTCCAGATTGTAGATTTTTGTGATTTTAAGTAATTAATATTATATATATATATATAAATATTATTAATCATCAATTATTTTTTGGTAGTTATTAATTCCAATTCCATGGATTTTAATTACATCTATTTTTAATGTATGGATTTGCACCATTTTATAAAAGTATATCAGCTATTCTATAAAATCCAAAAGCAACTGCATAATGAAGAGCCGTATTACCATCTAACTAATATTTAAGCATATACTTACATCCTTAGTATTGATTTGGACATTTTAATTTATCATATACTATACTAATTCTGCATTTCCAGATTATGCTGCCAACATGATAAATGGTTTTCCTTCTATATTTCTTTAGTTTAAAGAAAAATTTGGATGTTGTCTTATAAATTCTTTTAATTCATCAAATAAATTATGTTCAATCATAATTTAAACCAATTATGTTGAAGAATTTTCTCTTTTAATGATATGATCAAATAACATTAAATTCTATAATCTCATTTATTATTTATATTTAACAGGCTAAATTAATCTTACAATTTACTTTTAAATTAATATCTTTTGTTCTATTATCATCTTATAAACTTTGATTATTATCATAATCTGTTTCTAAAATCTAATCTTATTTTAAATTATGCATTGATTTACTCATTCTTCTTGATATTATTTTATCAGGAACTTATAAAACTAAATTATTTTCATTTTAATTTGAAAAAAGAAAGATATTATAATATTATTAAGGTTATTTATTCTCAAATAAAATAGATCTTCTTCCTTAAATTTTTGCTTCTTTTGTTTTTCTTCTTAAATTTAATAACATAGCTTTCTTGTCCAAATTTAATGGAATTAATTATTATTATTATTCAAAATAATTGTTATCTTCAATATCAATTAATTAATCTAAATTAAAAAAATTTCCTATCAAAATATCTGAATATTATTCATAATACAGTCTAGATATAGTTCTTTTTACTTGAGAATTGTCTGATTAAATTTAGGGAATAGACTCTTCAATGTTATTTTTATAAATTAATTAATCCAAATCAGTGTAATCAACAGATAAAAGAATATTTTTTGTTTTGTTATCCATAATCGATATAATATGATCAATTTGATAAATAGTTGAATACTTCAATATTTAAGTTGTAAAATACACTATTTATTTTCCTTAAAATTCATCTTATTCTTATTATATATGATAATTCATATCTTCTTCTTAAATTTCACTTAAAATATCTATCCTAATCTAAAATATAAATGAATATATACATTCCTAATGATATTATATCCTATTTATATCTAAATTTCTAATCATATATTTCAATTTAAACACCCTTTAATTTATGATTCTTAATATACATTTTTCTAAAATCATCAGGGGATTCATCATTTTACTAGGATTTTTTAATTTATTCTTTCATCTACACAAAGGCTTCGATTATAAATTAATATATCAAATGTTTATTTAATAGTTTTTCAATAAGTTAATTAAAATAGAGCTTAAATTATTAAGATGATTTTTGATATTGTTATTGATCTTAAAATTATTTTGATGAGAAATTTTCTTTCCATATTTAAGAATATTTTCTTATAATCTATTTTGATTCTGATTTTTCATTTTGAGAATCTTTTATATTCTTTAATACTTTTTAGAGAAATATTTATGATTTTTAATTACTTTATTATTTATTTCTTAATTTTACTTTTGACATTTCCTAATAAGTTAGATAATTTGTATTAATAAAAATAGATTTTCTGATATTATGATCTTTTTTGTAATAAATAGGTGTGTTATCTATTATTTCATCTTCAATATTATTCAACTTTATTAATTCATTAATAATAGAATTGATTCTAGACTTTTATTTGTAAATAAGAGGACTCAATACTTAAACATCATTTCTTAATTCAATATTAGAGGGTTACTAATTTTAAATTGAAACCTAATAAAGTGATAAAACTCTATTTGTTTAAGGTAATCGATAAGTAAGAAGTTCTTATGAAAGCATACTAGAAGATTACTGTCTTTCCGTATTAATTTAATATGATTGTTAATCAATATTTTGAGATAATTATCCTCTTATATGAGTACGAATAGTAGATAGACTTCTATAATCTGTTGTTGTTTAAGCTCTTGATTCAGAGTAAGCTTATTAGTTTTGATTTTTTTTAATTTCTGTCTTTTTATGATTGAGTAATTTGATTGATCTCTCACTAGTAGTCTAAATTAATCTTCTAGTGATATAGAATGTTGATTTAGGAGAAGCATATGTTTGAACAACATCTTATTTTGGAGATTTCAATTTCATATGATGTTTAATCATGATTATTAATTAAACCAAAATACTTAAATAATTTATTATAATTATAGTTATTAAAAAATGATAAAAAAAGAAAAGTCTAATTTATATATTCAGAATTACTGACTAAATTATTATGAGAACTTAAATATAGATAAAAATTTGATTTTATTTATTATTAAATGTCAAGTAAAAAATTATTTATTTATTCATTCAAATTGAAAACAAAGAAAATATAAGAAGACTAAAAATTATTATTATGATATTGTTATTTTCTTTATATAATATCATTGATCCTCTAAAAATTTCTCTAATTTTGGTGGACAACACAAAGCAACTCCTTTTCCATTTTATTTTTCCATTTCTTCATCCATGACAAACACAATCAATATTGCATCACAAGCAACTCCATAAATTGACATAAATAATGATCCAACAACTAAACCAATTGCACCACATAATAATGATGGTCCTTCTGGATAAGTTACATTATATTTAAACTTTTCAGTTCTTGTTATTATAAAATAACAAAATAGACCAGTTAATAAAGCAATAAATCCTCTTCCTAAAGCAATAAATATTTCTCCAAATCCTCCAACTGTTGCAAATCTAAGAGGATTTCTTGCAATCAAAAATATTGCCTCTTTGGCTGAATGGAAAAATCCTTTACCTGTCATATTACTAACAACATAAGCATTTTTATTAATATATTAAACGCATTTCTCAAAACACCACATACAACAAATCAAACATTTAAATAAATATTCAAAGAATTTATTTTTCTTTATTAATTCTTCCTATTATTTATAAAGAAAAGCCAACCAAATTCTAATGAATTCTATTATAGCTAAAATTAATGATCCAAAAGCTACTGTTCCTAAATGATATCTAAAAAATCTTCCTATTGCAGTTGGCAAAGGAATAGGACCACCCTCTTATGCTCTTGGTCCTTATTAGAAATACCAAATACAGACTGATCCAGCAATTATAAATTCAACTGATGCTATTATAAAAGCAGAATTCCATAATAAACCAAATAAGTGAATATTAGCAAATATTTTTTGATTTTAAGTGAATGTAAATTATCCAAAAGGTAATTGTTTAGGTTTATTTGTAACTTCTCCTGAACTATATAAATACAATGCAACAACGAACCAATAGATGAAATATGTTAGCATAATGAAAAAGGTTACAAATGGAAGGATAACAACTGTAAAATTAGCTTAAACATAATCGCATGCTGTCTATTAATTATTAAATAAATAATAATACTTCAAGTATAGCAATTGCAAGCCGAATCCTTGAATACATACAACAAACAGCTAATAAAATCAATCCTGCCAAAGAAAATAATGTAATTCCAATATATAAATAATTCTTAGGATTAACATTATTTGCTTAAGCTTATTCTTAAAGAGTTTGGGAATCAATTTCAGCTTAAGCTGAGGCTGGTAATTTTGATGGATCAGTTAAAGCATAGTAGTATCCAGTGGTGTAAACTCCTCCTGCTATTAATACACTGAATAATAATAAGATGAGTGTCCATATAACACATCCAGCTAATGTTTCTATAAGGAACAAAAATATGAATCCAAGTACTAAAGATATACCAATAGAACCAAATATAAGCCATTTAGTTGTGATCATATCATTTGATACTTTTTCCATAGTTTCAACATCAATTTTATCTTTTACGGTTTCATAATATTATTTAGTTGTTGGTAAACACACAGTTTTCATAACTTAAATAAATTTTATTTATGTACATAATTCTGTATTGTAAATAACAACAACCTCTTCTGGATTAGTAGTCATCATATTTTATTTACAACTCTTAACAATTGAATTTGGTTAACATTTTAATTCACTTGGTAATTTTGGGTTTGGTTTAGCATCCTCCAAATGTGATATTTTAGAATGTCTTGCTGACGGAGTACTATCACTCTCCTCTTCTACAAACTAAATTATTATAATTACTTGGACATTCAGCTACACAGGTTGTCACATAAAGATACTTGGGATTCGTTGGGTTAGCAAAATATATGTAGGGATAATCAACTACATCCTCATCAACTCCACATGCCCGATCTTAATATTTATTAAAATTTTACGATCAGGATCATATGGCTAGGCAATTCTTTTAGGATCACCATTTTTAATGGCATAGCCAGTTATGAAAAACATGCCAAAAGTAAAAACAATAAATAGCAATAAGCAAAAAATATCAGTGCATTCTCTTTCTACAACTGGTCCATTTCTTAATTTTGGATCTGTTCCTTCACCTTTCTCACTAGACATTAAATCTTTATTTGCAAATAAAAAATATATATAAATATAAAATGCTATTTATTTAAGAAGATGAAGATGACATTGGAGATGATATAAACGAACCAATTAGTATGTATTAATCGCCTGTGGTCACAAATAATCTAATTAATGTTGTTGGAGTTTTCAATTAAAACCAAGTTGCTATAGATCCTCCAGATCTAAATTCTTAAAGGAAAAAAAGACTTAAAGAGTTTTCCAACTAGTTAATCAAAGAAAATCCAAAATATATTGCTGATAATTTATATGCAATTTAAATAGTTTAAGTACTAACTAATGCAGGACTATGCAAAATCTCAAATTTTGTGAATGGTCATTACTAGGCCCAATTAGAATAAATTATCAAATATGATAAACATATATAAGATTCAAGATAGGATTCATCGCTTTATAAATAAATCTTTTTTATCAATGTAAACCCAGTGCATATATGTTTCTAAGATGGATCTTTAGTTTTTAAATAAAGTAATTATTCATTTTAAAATTTAGATCCTCCTACACTGGAAATTAATCAAAGCCTTAAAAAAAAATATCAATATTTATTAGAGGTCATAAATTTAACTATGAGATTATTAGATTCTTATTTTAAAAAAGATTTTTAAAGCATAATTGATCATTACATTAATATGAAAGATAACAAATATTCTAATAATAGAATTATAGAATTCTTATAAAATGAAATTGAAAAAAATGCTGAAAATTATAATTATGTCTCTAAGTGGTTAGAAATAAAATCCAAAATTAAACCAGTTTTAGTTATCTATAAATAAATTAAAATCTTAGAAAAAAAAGATGAACTCTGTGGTAGAAAATCATTAAAAGTTTTATCTAAACACATTAAAAAAATTGATAAATTGTAAAAACGCTTATACTAGGAATAAATTCTTTCTCCTCTAGAGTTCTTATTGACAAATCTATTTGATATTTTTGATTCAATTCTAAAATTCTATGAAGAAAATTATGAAAAAGATGTCTAATATTAATAATAACAATTTATCAAAAAAAATGAAAAACTTAAATAAAAATAATAAAAACCACAAATTTAAGAAGCTTCTGTTTAAGAATGTGAATAAGAATAATTTCAATATTATTTTTAGAAAAAATAAATTAAATAACAAGAACACCTTGTTGAATAATTTGATTGCCAACTAGATGTTTTAAGTGGACAATCTTAATCCCTTATAAAAAAAGTGAAAGATTAAAAATTGGAATGACTATTTTATATAAAATATATAAATATTAAATCTATTATTATTCATAATGATTGATTCCGTATTAGCTTGAAATTTTTAATTTGATATCATAGATTCAATTGATAAAGCAAACAAGATGCTTTAAAAAAAGAAGTAATTCCAATAAAATTACCTTTGATTTATAATCAAGTAGAGAATACATCAATCAATAATTAAATATATACATCAAAGAGTATGACAAATATGCTGTTAATTATTACGATGTTACTATGTCCAAATTTACTCAAAAAGGATATTTAACTACTGTAAAAAAACTTATTTAATTTCTATGAGGAGCAATTTATATCATTTCCATCACAACCAATGCAAAATTACTAAATTCTTAATTTTAGGTTATATTTCTAGAGAACCACATTTCAAACATTTTATTGGAAATATGAAAAAATCAACTACATTCAGAGAGTCTCAATTTTAACAAATTCATGTAAGTATTATACATTATAAGTAATGCAGAATTAAAGTAAAAATTATAGATAAAAATAAATAAGTGAAACATATCAACTCCTAGATATTTGAATGCCATTAATAATAAGATTTATTGTAACTCACATCCTAAAATTTTTAATTATCTAAAATTTTAAACAAGAGAGATTTTAAAAAGATCAAGATAATGAAAAAAAATGATTCTTTTGATTTATTATTTATATTTAACATTCACCTAATAAAACTTACTTCTAAAATTCAATTTATTCATCATATAAGGATAAATTTCTTGAATTATTACTATTTATACTTGATCTAGATAAATGCTTTATAATTTAATTTTTATAAAAATTTATTAAATGTAAAATAGAAATATAATAATCTTTTCACCTAACTAATAGGAGCTATAAGAAAATCAATAATGTAAGAATAATTTATGATTATTACTTTAGCTATTGAAAATCACACTTATTAAGCTTAAAGTATAAATGCAATTTAATACTAATGTAAAAATTATATTTATCTTATCAAGATTAAAATATGTAACAACCTCAAATATAAAGAATCAAGTTAGAAGAAGGTGTTCAAAAACAACCTCTAATAAAAATCAGAAATGATATTTAAATCAATTTAGAGGTGAAATATTTAAGTGATAACAGAGATAAGGATATTTTTAAAAAATTTTTTAATCTGTGAGTGATGACATAAATGCTAATAATTAGCAATATAATCTATATCCTTATATCAAAGATGATCAAGTTATTTTTTAATTCTGGAAATTTGAATTTAAGGGCTAAGGAAATTTTTAAGATAGATACATTAGTGGTTTTAATATTATTTGATAATAATAGGTATTTTGAAGTTGAAACCCGATCATCCATTGAGTGCTCCAATATTCTATTTTGATCCTATTCACACAGACTAAGGAGATGAAGTAATTTAGAATGAAAGTGTTTATGGAGGTACAAAAGAATTAAATATTTTAAAGATCATTCTTTGTGCATTCCTTTATTTTCATATTGGAAGAAGACCACAAAAGAATAAGAAATATTATAAGCTATTGAATAGAATTTTAATAACCCTAGTTGGTCATAATCTGATGTACCTGCAAACCCGTTGTTTGCTTATCAAAGTGAATAAGAAAAATAAAAAATCTAAAACAGACAAGCTCAATTCTTACCATTTTTTGAAAAATAAATATGAAATAAATATTAAGAATTAAAAAAAATAATTATATTATTATTAGTCGTTCTTTTTTAACTATAAAAATTGAAGGATTAATGTTTTTTTTTCGATTAATTAATCTTTAAATAAATATAATATAAAATAGAATATTTATATAATGGAAAGTAAATATATTAATATATTCTAAAATTATAATTGTAGAGAATCTTTATGAAGTTAAAGCATTTTAATATATATATATAAACTGTGTTTTTGTCTGGAAATATTTTATTGTAGAAAATACGACTTAATTTAAATCAAAAATTTGGAGTAAATTACATTTAATAGATATATCAGTTGTAAAGACATTTTAATTAAATAGATTATAATATTTATTATTTTTATAGATAACAAATAATCACTATAATGATCCAAATTAAATCTATATTATAAACTGATTTTGAATTAATTATCATCAACCTACTTAACATTATTTAATATATATTTTTATTTATTGAATTATTAAAAATTAATTGTTTTCCTATATCATTTCATTATGTGAATTTTATATTTAATTAAATATATCATTTAAATTATCTTCCTTTTATTTATAAATTTAATGAAATCAGTTAACATTTCATCTAATTTAATATTTTTTATTTTAATAAAATTCTCATAATTCCTTAGATTTATTTTTTGACAAATTAAATTATTATAATTATAAAAACTGATATTGAAATAAAAAAACTCCGAAAAGGCGGATTTGAACCACCGACCTGGGGATAACTGGATTAACACTACAGTCCCTCGCTCTACCAACTGAGCTATTTTCGGATGTTAAATAATGTGAGATTATCGAATTTATATATGACTTGATGTAAAGAAAAAGGAGTGAATTTTAAAATGATACTAAAATATATTCAAGTTTTAATTATTTAAAATCAAAATACTATTATATATATGTTCAAATATATCAATTAAGGAATTTTTGAATGTTGTGAATATTTCAATTAATCACCTTCATTTGTTATATTGTAGACAAGATTTAGAATAGTTTAACATATATCTTAATATTTCAGGTATCCTTCATGTAATTCTTTATATTTTAAAGATTTCTCAACTGTTTTCATAATTTTCGCTTTCTTTCTCTTTGAAAAATAATATTAATTTTAGAGATCTTAGATATCCAAAAATTCTAATAAATCTAATTTATTAATTTTAATTTTCTTAGTGTTTATTTTCTTGTTTTAACTATTTTTCTATTCCTCTTGCTAACTAGAAAAATTTTTAATTTTACAATTTTTAAATGAAATCGATTTTTAGAGGAATATAATGATCTATATAATATTCCTATTTTCAACAATTATTAATTACTTTTGTTTTTCATCTTTAAGATCATGAATGATTTGAATAATAATAAGAACAACTTTTTCAAAATATTAATATGAAAATCAATGAATTTTAGTTGAAGATACAAAAGTATAATCAATCAAATTAAAAAATGAAATCATACACACTTAAAAATATTATATCATATAAATAATTAATCAATTAAGTCTTTCATTTCAATAATTTATGTTTTCAATTAAGAGCCTTCACTTTATACAATTGATGCAGCAACAACAGGTCTGCTAATACCACAAGCTCTACCTAAACTTGCCTAAGTTGAGACAAAACAATATGAGACATTCTACTTTATATTCCTTATTTACTTTCTCTTCACATTTAATAGGTATATTTGCTACAATTTCTATAGGATCACAATCAGCTGCCAAAATCACTAATTCACAGATTCCTTTATCAAGACTAATTTTATATATTAGATTATACTTTTTTAAGACTTCATTAGCTCCTTTTTTTAATTGCTTGTAATTTAATGCCTAACGAAGAAGGTCTAATATTTTAGTCTATAATTTTGCATCTGCAATTGGAGATGGCTTAATTCTGGGGGCTTCTACTTTCTACATATATAAATAATTTAGTATTAAAATAATTCATAATTAAAATAATTCAAATTAGTTAATTTCAGAAAGTTTAGAAGGTTCACTAAATTTAGTAGTAAACTTTAGTAAATATTCTAATGTCCATTAATCAAATCTTTATTTCAAATAATTTATAGATTATGGCATTAAAATTATTTAACATGTGGAATCACCTTGGTCTATACTTTCTAAATCCTTAAAAAAAAATGATTCTTATTATATAGAACTTTGTTAGTCTGAGATATACTCACAATTAAAAGAATAGTCTTAAACAATTTGTATAAGTATTTCTTTAATTGAATGATCTTTCATTTAATTGACTACATTTATCTAAAAATTCAATTTAAGTAAAATTATTAAAATTTCTTCCTTTTTTGATAAATTATCATTTAATATATATTCACTTTTAATTGATAATGATTATATAAATACTTGTAATAGGCTTCAGCTATCTATCTAATTTATGAATTTCCTTTAAGACTTTCTTTTTCAGTTACAATACAATTAGATTAGATGGATAATTTTGGAGCATTCATTTCATTATTGCAGTCATATCTACTCCAATTAACAGGTTATAACCCTTTTGTTTCTTCATGTGAATCAATAGAACTGTCTGAATATTCAATATGATCATTATCTCCTTCTTTAAGTAAAGGGACTTCTTATATTTAAAAATAATAGTTTCTTTATTTACTCATCTTAAACTAATTCGGTAAATTAATTTTCATAAATGAGGCATTTAATTATTTTGTTAAATTGAAACAACAAGTATATTAGTTTTTGGGTTGATACATTTATTATATAGATTAATTTAACTGATTTCTAGACTTTTGAAAATATTCAAACATAATATCTTTATTGTTTTTGAGAATAAGTTTCCATAAACAACAATAAGATTTAGGTTTGCAACTTACATAAAATTAACTATATTGTAATAGTAAAAAACACATTTAGATTTGATTAGATTACATGCAAATATCAAAAACGCTAAACTTTTCTATACCTGTAACTTAAGTAATTTCAAAAGGATGTGAACATCTATCACAAATATCAAGTTATCCTTTATATTATAATGCAAACTAAACTGCTGAAATGAATCCACGTTTTACTCCTATATGTAATGGACTAAACCCTTATGCATTTAGTATAAGAGGACATGCACTGATGAATATATATTAAGACTTTACCCATAAGATAGAAGAAGAGCAGCATATTTTTCAGGAAATTAGAATGTTGGCCACTTGTTGATCAAATAATGTAATGCTGTATTTCCATCTTTATCCTATTCATTTGGATCAGTTCCATGTTATAAAAACCCTTACATTAAATTCAATTATTATTTAATAAGAGATAATATTACTAGATTTTACTAATATAAAAATATATTTTTACTTAATTTAGATTAACATTTAAAGATAATAAAAATTTAACACTTTGACATTTATCAGAAAATAATGCTAATTAAATTGGTGTTTATTTATGAATATTTAATGAATTTTTATCAACAACATTACTACAACCTAATATAACACCTAAATGTTATTTTAATGATGCTTAATGTATAATAGTATTTCCATTCTCATCAGTAATTTAATAATTAAAATATTCTCCTAGAAAATACTTTATCATATTCTAGAATGTTCGATGATTCTCTTTCTCTAACCAATTCTAAAATTATTCCAGCTAGTGTCCGTTGATCTTATCATTCCAACCCAAATAAATCACCCAGTCTATACTGAACTCTTTTAATTAGGATAAATATTTTAATTCATAAATTGGGTTTCCTGTAAGTAGCAAAATTTAGATTGAATTTTATAGTAGTAAAGGGAATAAGTGTATTTGATTATATTCTATATTTAATTAAATTAGTCCTTCTGGCATTTATGGCAAAATACTAAGATAATTATGTGAAATGTCCAAATTCTATAATTGAGGATGAAATTTATTAAACTAAAATGAAATCAGAAAAATTACATCAAGAGGTAAAATTTTAAGATAATTATTTGATATATCTAATATTCTTAAATTTTATAATATCTTAAATTCATCTCCATATTATTAAATGCAATTATGAGACAAATCTAATTTTATGATCCATATATTATTCAATTTTTCTTAATTTATCTCCTTTAAACCCTAATTACTAAAATCAAGTTATTCAATCCGTTTCGAAAATTACATTTGTCTTTTATTTAATTGAGGAGAGCTTAATATCACTTCTAATTCATTATTTTTTTTATTCAAATGCTATTTTTTTAATGGATTTTCATTAAACATTGCTAATTTTGCAAAATTCTTTTCACTCATAAAATATTATTTTTTATATAATTATTTATATTAAATTACTCTGCATCTTTATGGCAATAATTCATATAAATTAATATTGGTTCCAAATAAATAAGCCAATTAATAATAGATAGATTTTTTTAAAGTGTGAAATTGATCATATAGATTATCATCAATATAATATTTATAAAGTATGCGTTTGAAAATTAGATAATTCTATAATAATTGCTTTGTAATTCTATTTTTTTTCAATTTAAATTTAATTCTTTTAGATACTTTTAGAATCATAAGAAAATTCAGAAATAAATTAATTTAAGTTTTTATTCAATAACTTTTATTATAAAGTAATAAGTTAATTAATTAACTTCTCGATTGATTATTCATCTTTAATATTATAAGTTTTTGGCTTTATTACTCTAAATGAATATTTAATTTCAAAATATTAATTTATTGCATAAAATTGCAATTTCATAAACCAATTAAAGATAAAAAATTTATAGAATATAGAAAATAATTGTATTCAAACTAAGATTAAGAAGATTATTTACACTTGTCTTATTGAGAAACATAATTAATTACTAAACTTTATTATAATTTATAAAATATTCTGATATTATCATTTTATTGATAAAACATATTTAAACAAAACTATTTTATAAAATATAGCTAATCTTAATAGTAAATTTTAGAAATGATTGAAGAATCTATGAAAACCATGTAGACTTATAAAATTTTGTAATTTAGAAAGGAAACTTTGAAATTACTATAATATTACTAGATATTTTCATCACATTAGCTAATAATATATTTAATGTATTAAGAAAATTGAATAAATTAATTCTAATTGAGGAAAAATGTATAATCTAAATCAATTTATTTTTTTAATCAAAATTCTCTAATATTTAGGAATTATTATTTTATGGAAGATTGGCATCAAGATTTATTGAAATCATTTATATCTTTGATCTTATCCTTAAGAGAGATCCTAAAGATTCTTTTTTATAATTTTATATTTATGAGAAAGAATTGAATGAATTATATTCAATTAATTTATAAAATTGTTTTTCCCACTTTTTATCAAGATATTGGATTCTGCCTTTTGGATGAGCCTGAAACTGAGGGTGATTGTCTAGGACTGATACTTGGCCTTTTTTGTCTTTTATCTCTTCTTGTACTTCTTCTGTGTCTCTTTCTTTTGTTTTTATTACTTCTTCTGCTAGATCTCGATGAGATGAGTATGAAGATTATGATCTAGAATCAAATCTTCTATAACGTCTTAAAAATTTAAGTAGTTTTACATACTTAGATCGCGAATTAAATCTTCTTCTGCTACGTCTTGGTGATCTTATTTAGGACAAAGATGAGCCCTTAATAATATACAAAATTAATAGACCAATGACCACCTTTACCACATTTGAAACATTAATCATCTTAATTTGGTCCAGTCTTTTTAACCTTCCTGTTGCTTAATACATCAACTATTAATTTCTATCCAGTATAAGTTTATCCATTAATTCCCTTTATTGCTTCGAATGCTTCTTCTTCATTACTAAAGGTCTTAAAATTGAAAAAAGTAAGATCTCTTGTATGCCACATCTTTAATTGTTAAATACTTTTTGAAGATGCCCTTTACATCCTTGTCATCTGATAATTTGCTACGACTGTAACCTGCAACAAAAATCTGAATGGGAACGATTTCACTCATTTAATAAATTTTTGAACTAAAATCCTGATTAAGAAATTGAACTATATTTATTAATTTATTTTAATGAATAAAGAACAATTAAAAATTTGTTTAGAAAACATAGATGAATATGTTAGAGGTTAAAAGAGATTAGAAAGAAAGAATAAGATATTGGCTTAATCTAATAAATTGAAAACAATTCAAAACTAAAGAAATTAAACTAAAATTTAAGAAGAAAATATTCCAACTAAAGTAAAAAAATAAGTTAAAAAAAGTGAAAAAGAAAATAAAAAAAAAATCTAATCAGAAAATTAACATCAAGTACCTAAAGTTATCAAACAAAAATCAAAAATTTAAAACTTTTTAGAAGAAATACATGTAAAAATTCTACCTTTTAACAATATTTGTGAATAAATAGAAAAATTTTATTAATTTAAAAATAAAGTAATAGAAGAAAGTGCATTTAATTCAAATTAACCCTGTATTTATTAGCCTATATGTAAAAAAAAATCAGTTAAAGAAATTAAAGCAAGAACTAGTATTAGCCCAATTAGTACTAAATAAACTGTTTCTATTAGAAATAAATAAAACAAAAGAACTCCATTAGATTTCTTTTCCTTTAATAGTAAATTTAAAAAATTAGTATTGTTTAAAGAAGATATTTCAGAAACTTGTGAAATAGTGAATGGAATCAGAATATTATATCTAAATAAATAGTGATTCCATTTATTTTTTTGATAAATTTTTTATGATTTAAAATCTTAGATTTTTAATTTGATAAATCTAATTTTGAATATCTCTCTAATAGGTTATGTAAATTCTATGAATAATTTATTGTATTATTTTACTCATTTTGAAGGATATATTCTATAATATTAATAAGAAGATTATGTTTTATCATTTATTTAATGTTAATCATTCATTATGTTTGTATTAGACTTTCATCAATGAAACTGTAATTTAATTCCTCTGGATAGGAACTGTATGTTGTTTCAATATCCTCTAAACTAAAGTAAGTAGTTTCTAATTCTTTTTAATTTATCAATTATAATGCATGTATTTAAGTGGTACTATTTGATTCACTTAATTGTCTATCAAATGTTGGAATGATAAATATTCGTTATTGATTTTTATTTTATACTACAATAATTATTATGAAATTTACTAAAATCTGTGAGTCCTCCTTCTTGGACTTAAGTAATTTATTGATGTTATTTATTAATTATTTATTATCTTGTCATTTCCCTTAAATAATGTCTAGCTTAATAAAAATTAATACTGATGAACTTTAACATAGATTGTTGAATAATCCATAGCATGACTTTAATTTTATAAGGGAGTGATTTTAGTATTCCAAACAAGTGATGTTAAAGGAAGATATTTCTCAACAACATGTTATCTTAAGAATTGATTTATTTTTTCACACAATTTAGGCATTTAAATTAAAAATAATTAGACTTTAATACTCTTTATGAATAACTTATCAATTAAATAATTAGATTTGCATCAGATTGTCATCATCAGATTAATTTCGAATTTTTAATTAAAAACCTTAAGATTTTAATAATACATTATCAAATTATGTTAATTGTAAGCCATTAAACATTTATTATGATTTAAAATATTAAAAAATAAAAAAATATAAGTTATTTTTTTATTAAAATGTCAAAAATAAGTATTTAATAAATTAAATGACTGATTTCTATTTTATATCTAAACTTATATTATATCAATGAAGCTATATATTTTAAATAATTGTACTTCCATTAATATATGATTTTACTTTAGATGTTAGAATATTATTTATACTAAAATTATTTAAAAATAATAATATTAAAGGCAAATTGAATTATTTTCGGTTTATTATATATATCTTTATTTATTCATTTTAGTAATAAATCTTCTTTTACTTTAAGAACTTCTTTAATGAATCAAAAAAATCATTAAAATTTAATTTATTTATATTTTATGTCAGAAATAGAGGAAATAAATTTAGAGTAAAATACTTAAAAGGATAGATAAAAGAGACAACAAAATAAAACAGGAAATAATAGAAAACCCATTAGAAAATTCAATAGATAGAATAATTCTTTTTAATTTAGAAATAGAGATAGAGATCGACCAAGATAAAAGGAATGGAAATAATAATAATAATAGAATAGTGGAAATAATCCAGAATTATATGAAATTGATATCTATAATTTTTTAGCTAAGAACTAGATCTCAGATCTCATAGTAATTGATTGGTTAATTTTAGAGTGATATAAAAACAAGATGTGGTGAATTAGTAAAACTTCATATTGTTGCAAATAACATTTAAGAAAATGAAGCTGAAACAAGAGTATAATTTAATAATATAAACAGATTATTCTAAAAGCTTTCTTTAAGGATTAAAAATCTGCTGATGAATGTTATTTTTAATATAGAGATGCCACTCTAGATCAATTGCAATTAAGGACTGAGCGTAAATATTGATGTAAAATTAATATATATAAAATAAGAGATTAATATGAATTATTCAAATATATAAGTTTCAGTAAGCCCTTATTCTTTTAGAATAATAAATCCTTACCAATATCAATTTATACATTAAAAAAAATGTTAAATTTATTTCCATTCTTTTATTTTAGAGAGATGGATTACTAAAATTTATTTACTTTTATATAGCATCTTGGTGATATATAGTACTCCACAAAGAATATGTATATTTTCCATGACTTCATAAGAGCAATTTGAATAGGTTTATAAAATCTTTATAAGATATTTTACAATTAAAAGTGTTTCAACAAATCTCCAGAAAGAATTAATTACTGAAAAGTAGAAATCTAATAATTATAATAACACAAATATAGAATAGAGCAAAAAGAAAAAGAGAGTAATGGGAAATGATTAATATATTAGTGTATTTCCTAATTATATGATTTGAGACAATAAACATTTCTATTTCTTTTGATAAGATATTTAATACTCATAATTAAATCAAATTATAATTGTTTATGTAAAGTTTAACATTACAACAAATCTCAATTTTTACATTTAATATTTTATTCAAAATAATGGGAAATATTTGTTTTCGAGAAGAATTTGTCTAAACCGATGTAGCAAAATTAAAGTTTGATGAAGATGATCTTCATTCTACTGCTATAACTATTTAAGGGAGGGAAACAAAATAATTAGCTCTATTATCAGATTTTAAGAAATTAAAAATGCTAGGTAAAGGTGCATATGGAAGAGTCATGCTAGTTTAATATGAAAAAAAAGGGAAACAAAAGTTATACGCAATGAAGATATTAGAAAAGAAAAACATTAGAAAGGAATCTCAAATTAGACATGTATTAGATGAAAGAAAAATATTAGAGAAAACTAATTCAAATTTTGTTGTTAAGTATACTCTTATATAATTGTATAGACTAAGATATGCATTTTAAAATCATGCTCGATTGTATTTTATAGTAGATTATATGTAAGGAGGGGATCTATATTATCATATCAAATCATTATCAAATTTTCCTGATAGTTATATAAGATTTTATTCAGCAGAAATATTATTTGGATTATAACATTTACATTCTTTGAACATAATATATAGAGATCTAAAACCAGAAAATATTCTCATAAGCTAATCTGGACATATAAAATTATCTGATTTTGGTCTCTCTAAAATTCTTGATGATTATAATTAAAAAGCTAATACTTGTTGTGGAACAATAGATTATTTGGCTCCTGAAGTATTAGGGAATGAAGGATATACATTTACTAGTGATTTCTATAGTCTAGGTTGTCTAATTTATGAGATGTATTTTGGGAAACCACCTTTTTACAGTAGAGATAAAAAATTGATGGTTTAAAATAGAAGTGTAAGATCAATCCCTTAGTTAGAATAATGCCCTCAAGATGCAAGAGATTTACTCACAAAACTCCTTGAAGTGGATGTATGATATTTATTTATGATGAAATAAGCCTAAAAAAAGATTAGGAAGAAAGGGAGCTGAATAAATATTAAATCATGCTTTTTTTTAAGATTTAGATCTATAAAAGATGAAAGAATTGTAAATATAGGCACCAATTATTATAATAAATTCAGATTATGTAGATCTTAGGATGAATAAGGAAATAATTCCATAGACACCTTAATAGAAAGGAACACAGAAAATCTTTGAAGGATTTACGTATTTTCAAAAAGAGAGTTAAGATTGTTGATAGCTTGTTTTTCTCAGATATGTAATTATTAATTGTATAATAATAATTATTATTATGTTACCAAAATAAAATGCATCTTCTTATATTATGGTTCTTCCAAGTAGTAATTAGTCTTACATATCCACTGAACAACCATTTAATTAAAAATCTACTGTTTTGCCTGAATCTAAGAGTAAAATGATAATACCTTACAATATGACTCCATTAGTAAAGGTATTGAAATTTTCTGAATTTAGTTGTTTGAACCAGTTAAGACCAAATTTATTCCAAGAGATGCAATAAATTAATCAATTCAATATTTCAATGAACCTGCTGAATACTCTTAAGCAGAAATCGATTTACTTGATTAATCTTTAGATAAATCAATTTAATAGCATCATTAAGAAAATTATGATCCATTATAACCTGTTTAAATGCCATAATAACCAGAAATTACTTAGTATCCATAATTATTTGTTGAACCTCCTATTTTAATTCCATACTTTATGGATTATATCAATTGGGATTTGAATAAAATGAAGAGTATAGTTAAAACTGATGAGGATGATACTACTAGATATATGAATTTTTATAGATACTTTAAATTCATAACAACTAAAATTTAGCATAAATATTATAATGCCAAAGCTATAGTCAAAATGTTAATTGAAAAATATTAAATAGTGCAACGTTTGAATGAATTATAGATGGATTTAAAATATCATTTAGATAATTAAGTTGGAGATTTGGCTAGTTAAAGTCTTGAATAACTAAAGAAACATGAATGGGTTCAATAGGAAATAGATTTTGAGAAATTAAGATAAAAATTATATTAAATACGTAGAGAAAGCTTTGAAGTATTAATGTTAACAGAACATGTTGAAGATTGTGTATTATAAGAGACATCTTTTACAGATTAATTAAATTAATTAAGGGCAGAATTGGATCATTCTTATGACTTATTCGAAGAATAAATACTAATATATATATTTCATGATGTTGCTGGTGTAGAAGTATGTATGAATTATTTAATTGATGATGTAATGAATGAAGAAATTGAAGAATTGAAATTTTTTAATTCTATTCCAAACTTCATCAAAGATTTAGATAATTTTGGGATAGAATTAAGATATTTAGTTAAACATTTAAGATTGATTATCAAATCTTTGACAGATAAAACTAATTAAAATTTAATTGATTTAAATAAAGCACATAGATCATTAGAGATAGAAGTTAAAAAGATAATAGAGCTATTTAATGAGATTCCAGCTATGGTTACAAAGATTTAACTAAGTATTAATTAAGCAAAGATTATATTATAAAAGATCAAACTTCCTCATAATAATTATAGAGCTGAAAATTAAGAAATTTATGATGAATATTTAAAATTATAAGAGGAAAATACAAAACTTGAATAATTAATTTAGAAACGTATCAATAAAGCTGCAATCATAAGTCAAGTATGTGAAGAGTAAAAGAATATTTTACAATTTGAAATAACATAATTAAAAGAGGAGAATAAGAATGTTATTGAACTTTATCAATTATTATAAGGAATACAAGAAAAAGAATTTTAATTGTCAAAAATTTAATCATAAAGATCTGAAATATGGTAATAAATGAAATAAGTGAAATCTGAAGAAATCTAACAATTAAATCAAAGTGAATTAAAAATTTTGGAATAAAAATGTATTGGTATCATTCAATAGATATCATCATATTTTGGTTAGGATAGAATGCCTCATTAATTTATACGATTAAAATTATGGGCAGAATCGGAATTGATGGCTTTAAGAATAAAGTTTGATGTTCCGAAGTTAAACTATCATACTTTGGATTCTTCTTTAAAATTAAGAATTGAGAAATTAGTAAAATGGGAATACAGTGATGAATAAAATGAAGAACAGAATGTTTCATAATATATTCAATACTTCCATAATTTGAATCAAGATATCAGTGTATAATAACCAGATATAGAAATTGAATTGGATAATTAATTTGATTTGCTTCAAGATAATGAAGAATTACTTTAATTGAATGAGACTTATACAATTTGGAAAAACATGTAGACAGCTGCAATATATTTGAATGATGATTATTTGTAAGGTCTGCTTTCGTCGCATGACTAAGATCGTCTGGTTAAGTTTAGAAAAAATGTGTCTCATTTGTATATATTCTTTAAGCTAATGAAACAGGATTAATATGTAGGATATGTTGGTGAAGTTGAATAATTGGCAGATTTGTTAATTCAAGGAAGAAAGTTAGATGCGAAATCTTTCATAAAGTCTTCAAGGTTTATTCCAAAAAATTACAGAGAGAATTTACTAAGTGCATTTTGAAATATTGAATGAATGACTTGATTTTTTAATTAATTATTTTATGAATTTCAGATAAGATCAAATTGATTATAAGGATCTAGTGCGAAGGAGAGAGGAGAAACGCCTGGTCATTGGAAAGAAGAAGAATCAATTTGCTACAAGTATCAAGCTTATTTATACATAGATTCACTTTCAAATAATGAAGAGGTATACAAACAGTTATATCGCTTTGATCCAGAGGTATATAAGTTTTTCAATAAAAATAGAGAGAATTATAAGAATACAGTTTAGCTAAGAATGAAGAATAGCCTATTTAATAAGCTGGACCTATTGAACAATCACAAGAGGAACCTATTGAGGAGGAAGAGCAAGTATTGATTCAATAATAAAAATTAGGCTTAACCAGATAATGCTACATATACAGCTATGGTGAAGGGATTATTTAAAGAAAAGGTGCAAGTGTCTAAAATACAAAAAGCAAATTATATAGATGCTACTGTTTTCCATTAATATTAGAAATTAATTCAAACAGGGGAAGATGCCATTAAATTTTTTGCTAAATATGGAAATACTACTCCAATTAAATTTATTAATTGTGTAAGCAAAGCTGGATATATTGAACTCTAATGTGAAGCTTACAATAAAAAAGACAAATTAAGACGTCAAAATAATACTGAAGGTGCTGAACTTGAGTTGCCTATGGAATTCAATAAAAGTAAAGAACCTTTCAGACCTTATGATCTGATTGTTGTAAAAACAAGGGAAAACCAAAAGGAATAAACATTAAGAGAATACTATACTATATCTGCCCATGGAATTGTCCATGTTTATACCGACAAGGGAAAGAAGAGAATCTAAGGTGATCATAGCACTGAAGTCATTTCACTTTCTGATTGGATGCATGAAAGTACTATGTTCAATATTATCACAAATATTTAATTTTTCAAAAATTATGCCATAAGTAATAATTATATATAATAATTCTAGCCAAAATCTTTAATATTTGGAAATCTAATGTTAGGTACAATCTATTTAGTAAGACCAGAAAAAAGTTGATTCATGAATCTTTTGTAGCTAAACCAGCTTTTGCTTAACATTTGATGGATATCAATCAAATGATGTATGAATTACAACTTCAGAAAACTTTAAGTAATAGTATTCAATAAGCTAATAAAACTTGGGAAGCAGATGATTTCTTTAAAGGTGATTAAAAGAAAGCCAGATCTGATGCATCTAAGCATTATGATTCTGTAATTGATAAAGTATTATAAAAATTAGATACTGTTTGTAAAGAAGTTATTGATAGAACAAATTAAAACAATCAATAAGAAAATGAAGAAGCTAGATTTGGATAATAAATTAAATAGAAACCTATGAATGAAGAAAGAAAAGAAAAGGAAGAAAATGCCTTACTCTTATAATTGGCAGAAAAAGACAAAGGTAGATTACATTTATTCATTAAATTGGTTGATTATATGACAGTTGAAACACTTGTTTCTATTAATTAAACATCTATGAGTATGTTATTAGAGGAAATGAAAAAAGAACGTAAAAATGGATTATTCAATACAGCAGTAAATTTTGATGTTTAAATATTTACACCAGATGAAAAAGAAATCTCAGAACATTTGAAATGTTTATTAGATGATATGATTGTTGTTATGAGAAATACTGCAAGAGTAATTTCTCATTAAAGTATGATTGGATACATAAAGAATACTAAATTAGGAGAATTATTATCTGAATAAAAGGAAAATAAGGATTGTATTGCTGATGTATAAGGTATTATAACAGATAGCATTGAATATTAAAATATAAAAAATGAAATATTTGAAAAAGTTACTAGTGATTTTCTAGCTGCTGAAATTTATGTGAATCAAAATTATATGAAATGTAAACCTATTTATGAATTCTTAAATACTTGGAATTAAGCAGAATTTGAAAAAGAAGAACATACACTTGATATCATTAAATCTCATGTTATGGAACTTAAAAAATGGTTATCAGACATAAATCAATATATTAAAG